CACCTCCTATAGTGCCTGTTTCGATTTTATTTAATCTGGTAATAATGCTTTTATTTCAGAGACCAATTTATTCCAAAGGAGCATTAATTTGTGTTTCTTGAAGTATTCGCCGGCCGCACAGTCAAAAATCGATTCCTCTGTGATTTTGGGAAAATGCCTGGACTATTTTCATTAAAGTTTAGATATTCTCAAAAACCATCCTAAAATCTCTTGCATGCCATCCTGTGTAGCATTTTTAAATGGTTAATTAGCACATAAATTTATTTAGGAGAGACCTACTGACAGGTACTCTTTTAGGCACTTTGACCCAGTGGCGGATTTACAGTTTTGCCGCTAGGGTGGGGTTGGATCTTTATTTAACTTTTATCTTCTGAAATCAAGTAAGCGTCATCTGAAATCTGCCGCCCCTAGGCCGCGGCCTATACGGCCTATTGACAGATCCAGGACTGCTTTGGACCTACTGAGAAAAATACACCTAGAAATTCTTAGACAGTGTTAACCACTTACCAGCGTCAGTCAGCCTCTTCACGATCTGAGCGACGGTGGACCTCTTCTGTCCGATGGCGACGTAGATACAGTACAGCTTCTTCTTCTCATCCTCGCCCTTGTTGAAGCGCTGCTGGTTGATGATGGTGTCGATGGCCAACGCAGTCTTGCCGGTCTGACGGTCGCCGATGATCAACTCACGCTGACCACGGCCGATGGGCACGAGCGAGTCGACGGCCTTGATACCTGGGTAGATGGGGTCAATAGAATCAATGGGTTCCGAGAGATTTTTTACGTAGCTAGCTCGCCGTCTTGCGGGGTTTGCGATGTGGCGTGTGATGCAGGCCTGGGCATATTAAAGTTTCTTTGCGGGCTCTTAAGAAATGGCGCGTGGATGCATGTAAACTCTTTACACTTTTTTTTCCATAAGAAATGGCGGAAATAAGCAAATTAAAATTTTAACAAGTTATCTTTGATAGGTCCTTTGGATGTAGTTAATCAAAAATACTCATGTGATATGCACTTAGAAGAAAACTATGCAATTTTGTGAGAAAAAAATATAATGTCTGACTTTGGTCCTATTTATTTTCAATAGAGCAGCTTTTAATTTCTGAATTGATGATGTGAGTCAAAAGACTTAAGGTGTTTTTTGCAAGACATAATCACATCTTTCTGTATGATCAGTATTTCAACAAATTATACTGCAAATAAAATGTAATACGTACCAGTCTGCATAGGCTCGCGCACAGACACACGCGGGATGATACCGGGGGCCTTGATACCGACTCGCATACGCGACTTGGTGTCGAGCGGTCCCTTGCCGTCAATGGCGTTACCCAGAGCGTCTACGACACGGCCGAGCAGTTGCTCGCCTACGGGCACGTCGACGATGGCGCCGGTACGCTTGACGATGTCACCTTCCTTGATCAGCTTGTCGTTACCAAACACTACCACACCCACGTTGTCGGGCTCCAAGTTGAGGGCCATACCCTAGGAAAGAAGGTATTTTGTGAAGATTTTAAAGATTTAGACAAGCTAAAGTGCTACTATGATTGTAGTAGCAAATCCCTTGGATATTCAGGGGCTTGGAGTATATCTTACAAACCTGACAGTAGCTCAGTTATTACAAGGACATAAAGTCATGGAGTGTATCATAAAGAATAGAAATTATTTGGCACACAAAATATTTCAAATGGAAAGGACAAAGTGGTCAGACTCATTGTGACAATACTAGTTTTTAGGATGCCTTTTATCATTATCATCAGTTCATTTAGTCTCCACTGAAATATAGGAATTTATGGACTGCTTTGCTTACTTTTATTTGACTCATAATGTTTTCAGATAATTACTGTGTAAACAGAAATCTTTCTTACCTTGAGACCAGAGGAGAATTCCACCATCTCCTCGGCCTGGATGTTCTTAAGACCATAGACACGGGCGATACCATCACCAATGCTCAACACACGGCCAGTTTCTTCCAAATCAGCCTAGAAATAAAATAAAACCTATGAGTATTTGGGCACAATTTAGACCTCTGACCTATAGAAAAAGAGTTTAAAATAAAATTCATCTATTGACTGAGATTTTATCTCCTAAGAAAAAACATAATTCTATTGTATTTTTTATTCAAAGTCAAACAAACCAATTTTTTCCTTAAATAGTAAGAGATCAAAAACTACTATTGAGGTTGTGTGTCAGAAAAGAAAAACATAATATCATACATTTGCACCAAGATCAATAAATAGGACCAAGATTTTTTTTTCAAAATAAAACAATACCCACATTGGTTGTGATAACCACGGAAAAGCACGTAACAACATCCTGTAACTTACTATCAATGGAGTAGGTACGTCCCTATAACCTCTCTGACAGGGATGTGTTTATGTAATAATGTAATAGATCACTGACCTTGGGCGCGGCTCCGAGAATTCGCTCCTCGAGGATCGTGGAGATCTCGGCGGCTCTCTGGCTGCAGGAGACATGGATCTTGCGGGAGGCTACCGCCACGGCGGGCACCGCGACCTTCGATACCTGTGCCACCGAACATAACCAAAGTCATCATTACCACATCACTTATCGACACTTTATTATCACTACTGCTCGTCGTCCGAGGGTATTGGACGATTATTCAACGTTCATCACCACTTAGCAACCCAATAATCTGATAGAAGACCGAACACCCACTTATTACATAACACGTATCATTGAGAAAATACATCAAAATATACATTTGTTCACTAAAGTTTCAATAAGATATCGAGGTATATGCAGTTTAGAACAATAAGGCGGTAGGAACTTAGGAAAATATGGATAATTGAGTAATGGTTGCAGTTCGATCATGTTGGTGTTCAGCAAGACCCGATCGCCGGGCGCAAAAAATACCTTTTACAAACGTTGAAAGCACTTCTAAATATACGAATCGTGAAACAGTACCTGTGAGGCAGCATTTGGAATACGCCTGGCCACGGAAGAGGCCAAACGAGCGGAGATTAGAGACATTTTTCACAAATTCTTATTTCTATGGCAGACAGAAGGCCCGTGTAGTTCTCCGCTCGCGACTCGTTGCGGTAGAACCGGAAGTGACACAATCGATCTTTGTCTATGGTTTGACCGCATTGATCATTTCGTTCAGAAACTAGTGAAGTTCCATGAATTTGGAGCTATGAAATTCATAGCTCGTTATTGAATTCAAGTCAACAACTTTGAAAATAAAATTCAAACGATAAACCTAAATGATTTTTTTCATTTTTTAGTGAGAACACTGGGAACTATTAGAACAACGATAATGAGGAGCACAATGACGGTCAAGATAGTATTCGTGAAACGAAACGCATTAACTGTCAATGTCAAATATCTGTCACTGCTGTCAGTGTCAATCGCGCATGTCATGTGCAATGCACATGCGGTTTACTTGTTGCAGTGCCCGGCTACAATTTCTATTTGATAAAAAAGTCTAAGTAATGGTGTGAAAAATGTCTTTTGTTGATATTTTTGTTGCTTTAAAAGATGTCTGTACGAAGAGTACTCTGGAGTCAACAGCAGAGGTTGAGGAAGTTTTGGTTAGTTGTGTTTTACATAGTTTGGTAAACTTGCACCCTGTTTGGGGCTTTAAAATCAATAAAAGCTATTTTATATATAACGCACAAACGTTAGTGAGGTTACATGACATCTAGGTGCAGTGAGATGATCTTGATTGGTTCAGAAAATGACCTCCAATCGATTTTTTAAGTTGATGCCATATGGGCATAATAATAAATTTTAAATGGCACTCTCTTTAGTTTTTTACATCGTTATTAAAAATTAGAAGCTGCAAAAGCTTAAACATTAAGATAATATTACTGGTTGTAACTAAAAACATATACTTTTGTAGAGAAAGTACTAAAAAAACAAATTATAAGTTTTTACTCGGAATACATAATTATTTTCCTTAAACATGTTTAACGCTCTTGTTGCTCTTTATACTCAACGCTGAAATTATTTGCAATAAAATGAAGAAACCAGCCAATAAATAATAGTTACATAATAAATTAAATTGTTTAAGTTCTTAAGTTACTAAAATAATAAATTGGGCAGGCTGCTATTATTCAAGGTTATGTCATGCAGTTAGTATCTACATTATATCATGCTTTTTAACATATTGGTCCCAATGAAAGCTAAACAAAAATAAATCATGGCCAAGGGCATAATATAGCCTTCAATTTATTATGACTATACATAATATTGTTTCAGAAATCATTGTGTGGCAGCAAAATAGAGCTTCAAGATGCTATAGATAGATTATCAGATCATCTTGTGAATACTACTAATGCGGAAATATTAAAAGAGCATGTATCCAATTTGCTATTGGCATTGGTATCGTCGAAAATCCCGCTGAAACCCATTAAGAAAAGCACTGACCATTATTTGGATTGGCTTGTTCATCTCGACAACTCATATGTTTTAGCAATATTAAGCGATCATCCAGATATATTGCAGTAAGTAAAACTTTTTTAAATAATATAGCTATGTATTTATTTAATTTTTTAATTATAATTTTTAATGTTTTTTCAGATATGCCCTTAAATATTTCGAGCTCAATCCGACACCACCATTTTCCGTTTACGGATCAGAGATTGAAAATTGCCCTCGGGCTCCTAAGAAAAGGAGATACATTAGTAATCATCGAGACTTAACAGACAGTCAGATTGTCACTTGTTCTTATAAATTGCTCACAAAACTACCAAATGAAATTTCCATCAAATGGGACTGGTCTGTTTTTATTCACCGGTTTAGTGACCACTATGATGTCGGAGTTCGAAGGTATGATCGTTTTTTATAGTATATTTATTTATCTTCCTTTAATATGATCTATTGTAGCAAGCAGTACTACGAGTATATCTTGGTTACGCAAAAAATCTAAAAGCTGAGACTGATCAAAAGCGACTTTTTAATGTAAATTACAAATGGGTGTGCATTTTATATCTTATTGAAACATTTTTAGGATGGTCAAGGAATGCATGGTTATCGTTACCAACATGACAGAAGCACAGTCTGCAGCATTAAGCGAAAAGCTTAGTATACCAAATGAAGCTGAGCTAAAATACCTCTCAAGTATTGACAAAAGCCGTGTGATACCAATAGACGAACCTGTTAAAGCGGAGAATTTAAACAGCGTTGTGAATATTGATGGGATTATGTTACCCATTCATGATAAAGGGCAAGTCCAGAAAAGTAGTCTTGTTCCCGTCAAATCTACAGTCAGCAATTTGAGGAGCTTGGCTTTGGCTGTGGCATCAGGTAATTTACACTCAAAACATAAAATATAGAAAAGGTTAGTGGCCCACGCACTCGTCGCGTTTTTTTGGCGCGGTCAACGCTAATGCAATCGGTATGCGCTATGACGCACTAGAGATACGATGCTGTGTCTGGAAAACGCGGTGTGCATGGACCCTAAATCGTTTGAATAGAGTTAGGTATAATAGAACTATGTTTAATCTATAATATTTTAAACTATTATGTTGCATTTTTTACTATAAAATTATCACTTCACGGGATTTATTGCAACAATATCTATTTTAACGGTAAATAATATTTACCCTCCCGACGTTTCGGCTCCGTTGCACGAGTCATGGTCGCGGGCAGACTGAAGAGATGCGGCGTCGTCTGCTCCGGCGCGATGAGTTTTCTTGACCCACCCGCATTTGCACAATATTTTCGTCAGTGGTACAGTCAGTCCGACACACTACACTAACAGTGTCCGGGTAATCCCGTGAAGTGATAATTTTATATGTTTAATCTACTTTTAAAGCAAAACTGAACAATTGTAAAATGTTAGGCAGTGGCGTAGCGTGGCTTTTCGCCGCCCGGGGCCGTCCGGAAATCCGCCGCCCTTTATTTTAATTATAAATATTTTAAAGTTTAAATATTATATTGAATGGACTTCAGGTCTATTCACCTTATTTGTTGAAAGTCAAAATAAACTACCACGCACTGCTTCAGAAGGAAAATACATTAAAGAGAAGCAATTGCTTGAAACCCACAGGAAGTTTGATTTTCTTAAATAGCTCAGCTTTATTATGTAACACTAGGTGTATAACAATAAAAACAAGTATTAAAGTATTTATTTGTCAATTGAGAGTAAATATTATCTTAAATTATACAGTGTGAGTCACGTTTAAGTGTACATATGAAAATAGATGAAACTAGACCTATTTTTATCGACAAAAAAGAGGTCAAAAAAAATTTGAGATTTTTTTTAAATTTTTTATAGATTTTTTTTTCTTCCAATTACTTATTGTAAAGAAAACGTAATAACTTTTAAACTAAGAGGTATATCGTGATAAAATAAAAACCGTAATAATGCTAAATAACAGGCGGTACTAAAAAAATACACAAAAAAGGCCAACAAATAACAAAAAATGATACTTTTTGAAAAAAATCTGCTTTTAAATTCGTGTTTTTTTGGTTATTTGATTTTCTCCAAAAAATGCCCCTATAACAGGTGGTTTTTATTACTTTGTATTATTCTCCATCGTATTATCTTTGTAAAACGAAAAATCGCATGTCTCTATCCCTATCACAACATTTGCTATGAGCGTTTGAACAAAGGCCTGCCACAACATTATTCTCAGCCTGCAGGTAGATAAATTTTTAATTTTAACTAAAATGTCTATTTTACGTCGAAATCTTTTGTTGTTATTTAAATTTTACTTGTCTTTATCTAAATTACAAATCTAGAGCCATTTTCAGTTTCGTTGTTAACGAAGCGTTGAATTGCGCGCCCGGAGAGGCTTAGTTCAAACGATCATTGCAAATGTTGTGATAGGGATAGAGACATGCGATTTTTGGTTTTACGAAGGTAATACGATAGAGAATAATACAAAGTAGTAAAAACCACCGGTTATAGGGGCATTTTTTGGAGAAATTTATCAAATAACCAAAAAAACACGTATTTAAAAGCAGATTTTTTTCAAAAAGTATCATTTTTTATTATTTGTTGGCCTTTTTTGTGTATTTTATGTATTTTTTTAGTATCACCTGTTATTTAGCATTATTACTGTTTTTTATTTTATCAGGATATACCTCTTAGTTTAAAAGTTATTACGTTTTCTTTACTATAAAGTAATTGGAAGAAAAAAAATTCTATAAAAAATTAAAAAAAATCTCAAATTTTTTTTGACCTCTTTTTTGTCGATAAAAATAGGTCTAGTTTCATCTATTTTCATATGTACACTTTAACGTGACTCACACTGTATACAGGGTGTTAGGTAAATGGGTATATGAGCCGACGCTTGCCCATGTTAACATGGTCATATAAATGGTATGGTGAAGTCAGAAATTTGATATCATCATTTTAATTTTTTTAATTTTCATACAAAATATTTTTTTTTAAATCCGATTTGTATGAAAATTAAAATAATTAAAATGAAGATATCAATTTTCTGACTTCACCATACCATTTATATGACCATGTTAACATGGGCTAGTGTCGGCTCATATACCCATTTACCTAACACCCTGTATAGTGCTCATTGAACTTAGAAGGAATAACATTATAATTATGTGCTTAATATTATTAAGGGNCAAAATCATTTTTTACATTCTCACCTGGATTTTTTTCCTGAGAACCTGGGAAGCGTGAGTGTTGAGCATGGCGAAAGTTTTCACCAGGATTTGAAGGTTTTTGAGGAAAGATACCAAGGAATTTGGGATAAAAATATGTTAGTGGATTGCTGTTGGTCTATAATAAGGGAAACTGATACTAATCAGTATAAAAGAAGGAGTAACACGACTTATTTTTGATTGTTTTTAGGGACAAATGTACAAAAATGATAAAAATTAAAATGATCAATATTTACAAAATTTGACGTCCTAAATTTTTTCTAAGTTCAGTTTTTAAGTAAGGGTTAATAACTCTACCGATACATATCAGTTTCATCTCTGGGTAAAAAACCTTGTAAACTAGTGTTATTTTCCCTAAATATGTGTAACGCTCTAGTTGCTCTTTATACTCAACGCTGAAGTTATTTGCAATAAAATGAAGAAACCAGCCAATAAATAATAGTTACATAATAAATTAAATTGTTTATACTTCTTAAGTTACTAAAATAATAAATTGGGCAGGCTGCTATTATTCAAGGTTATGTCACGCAGTTAGTATCTACGTTATATCATGGTTTTTAACACATCGGTCCCAATGAAAGCTAAACAATCATGGCCAAGGGCATAATAAAGCCTTCAATTAATAATGACTGTACGTTTTGTTTCAGAAATCATTGTGTGGCAGCAAAATAGAGCTTCAAGATGCTATAGATAGATTATCAGATCATCTAGTGAATACTACTAATGCGGAAATATTAAAAGAGCATGTATCCAATTTGCTATTGGCATTGGTATCGTCCAAAATCCTGCTGAAACCCATAAAGAAAAGCACTGACCATTATTTGGATTGGCTTGTGCATCTTGACAACTCATATGTTTTAGCAATATTGAGCGATCATCCAGATATATTGCAGTAAGTTATTATTATAACATTTTAAATTACAGCACCGATTTGAAAATACATTTTAATTTGTTTGTTTTTTCAATATTTTTACAGATATGCCCTTAAATATTTTGAGCTCAATCCGACACCTCCATTTTCCGTTTACGGATCAGAAGTTGAAAATTGCCCTCGGGCTCCTAAGAAAAGGAGATACATTAGTAATCATCGGGACTTATCAGACAGTCAGATTGTCACTTGTTCTTATAAATTGCTCACAAAACTACCAAATGAATTTTCCATCAAATGGGACTGGTCTGTTTTTATTCACCGGTTTAGTGACCACTATGATGTTGGAGTTCGAAGGTATGATCGTTTTTTAAAGTATATTTATTTATCTTTCTTTTATTATCTATTGTAGCAAGCAGTGCTATATCTTGGTTACGCAAAAAATTTAAAAGCTGAGACAGATCAAAGGCGACTTTTTTAGACCAAAAGCAAATTACAAAAGAGCGTGCATTTTATATCTTTTATCCAAAACTTTTAGGATGGTCAAGGAATGCATGGTTATCGTTACCAACATGACAGAAGCACAGTCTGCAGCATTAAGCGAAAAGCTTAGTATACCTAACGAAGCTGAGCTAAAATACCTCTCAAGTATTGACATAAGCCGGGTGATACCAATAGACGAACCTGTCAAAGCGGATAATTTAAACAGCGTTGTGAATATTGATGGGATTATGTTGCCCATTCATGATAAAGGGCAAGTACAGAAAAGTAGTCTTGTTCCCGTCAAATCTACTGTCAGCAATTTGAGGAGCTTGGCTTTAGCTGTGGCATCAGGTAATTTACACTAAAAACATTAAATTATAGAAAAGGTTAACAAGCCTTATAGGCCCACGCATACTTCGCGTTTGGCGCGGTCAACATGGCTTAATGCAATCAGATTCAGAACGCGTTGTTAAAACTTGCTTCAATGAGGGCTATCGTTTTTATACTTAACAGTTGGCACCCCTGGCGATTGACAGGACCTTACTCTACAGTGGCGCCATCTTGATGAGTGCAAAATGCTCACAAGTTGGTGCCACTGTTAAGTGACAGGACCTTACTCTACAGTGGCGCTAACTGGTGAGCGCTAAAACGATAGCCCTCATTGTGTCTAGAAAAACGCAATGTGCATGCCTAAATCATTTGAATAGAGTTGGGTATTTGTTTGTTAATTTGTAAAATAGAACTTTGTTTAATCTCCTTTTGAAGCAAAACTGAACAAATTGTAGTGTTAAGACACTTTTATCTTAATAATATTGTCTTGTTATGTTATAGGTAAAGCAGTATGCCTTCTGGGCCCTGTGGGTTCAGGAAAGACATCTTTAGTAGAACATTTAGCCGCGATAACTGGCCGCAAGCAATTTGCGTTCAAAAAAGTGCAGTTAGGAGATCAAACGGACTCGAGGATGTTGTTGGGTTCCCATCAGTGTACCGACGTCCCGGGAGAATTCATTTGGAGGCCCGGAGTGTTGACTGAGGTAGGTTTTTATTTCCGTCTGTAAAAAAATACGCATTTATTTACCTACATACTGAAAGGAATCGGTAATAACAATATTTGTTAGAGCTTCATGCTTCACATAAGCATCTCGCTAATAGTAACAGGCATAAATAGATCCAAAAATAACACTGCTTATGAAAAATTTACATTTAAATACGTTTAATACGTACCATGTATGAATTAAACATTGAAGATGTGATGATGGGGATTGGAGACTGATATTTTGATACATTATATTTATAGGCGGTACAAAACGGCCATTGGTTGTTACTTGAGGACATCGACTCTGCAGCGCTGGACGTTGCATCTACCTTGAGTTCACTTCTCGAACGCAACTCCCTTTGCGTGCCCGGATACAGGGATGCGTTGCCCGTCACTCCCGGATTCCAATTATTTGTTACCCAAAGGTGAGTTCAGCTTTGTCTAACTATCTTAGTAAAACTTCACTTTTCTCTGTAAATATTTTATGAAACCCTTTTTTAGGACACTCGCAACACATGCAGGATTCCAAAAGAAAATGTCCAGCTCGAGCACATTGCTCCAAAAACATTTGACGCAAATAAACGTTGAACCATTGTCAAGGTCCGAACTAGGAGAGATTATCCAAACTCTTTACCCCAGTCTCTCCACAATCAGCGCCAAGATTATCGAAGTTTTCATGATGTTCTCTGTGGGCAGTCATGACACATCCTTACATTCCACTAAACTAGACAGTCAGGACAATGAAACTAGTATCACAGTCATGAGAGGTTCTCGACTTATCTCCACAAGGGACTTAATCAAATGGTGTTCAAGATCTGTACAAGACTTTGATGTGTCAAGTCCTGAATCCGCTTTGAAAGTTCTGCAGGATGCCTTGGACATATTCACCTGCTCAGTCTCCTCACCAGAGCACAGGCTTGAACTGGCCAAAAAGATCGGCACATGTTTAGGCATCGTGGAAACCAAATCGGAGTTTTATTGCAAACACCACAAGCCGAATGTGTCTCTCACTACAAGGGCGCTCGAAGTCGGAAGAGCTAAAGTACAAAGAGTTGAAAAGAGTTTAGAATCAATAGATTTGGATAGCAAACAGGTAGTGTTTTCCTTCACAAGGCAGTCAGCTTGTTTACTAGAGAGAATAGCTTGTTGTGTCACGTCTAACGAGCCAGTGCTACTTGTTGGTGAAACAGGAACAGGGAAAACATCATCCGTCCAGTACCTTGCGAGACAAACGGGTCACAAGCTTGTAGTCATAAATATGAATCAGCAATCGGACTCTGCTGACTTACTCGGTGGCTACAAACCGGTCGATATGAAATACGTCATCAGACCCATCATTAACGAATTCGATGGACTATTCCGCAGCTTCTATAATGTAGAAAAAAATCAGAAGTTTTTAGGACATATCGAAACTTGTTACGAATCAGAAAATTGGACGGCTCTATTGGCGCTGATCAAGCAAAGTTACAGATCTGCTGTCACCAGGTTAACTAATGAAAGGAAAGAAGAACGACTTAAGGTGTGGCAAGCTTTTGGCCATAAACTTAGCAAGCTAGAGCTCCAAGTGAAAGCCGCCTCGAAACTGACGTTTGCTTTCATAGAGGGTTCCTTAGTTAAGGCTATGCAAGAAGGCTACTGGGTACTCCTGGATGAGATAAACTTGGCGTCAGCTGAGATATTGGAGTGTCTCGCTGGATTGTTGGAGGATAAAAACGAAAGTGTCCACTTGATAGAAAAAGGGGACAAAGTTCCTATAAAGCGCCATCCTGATTTCACCCTATTTGCTTGCATGAACCCGGCCACTGACGTTGGGAAGAAAGACTTACCAGTTGGCTTGAGGAATCGATTCACAGAGTTCTTCATTGACGAGTTGATTGAGAGGAACGATTTGATGCTCCTCATTGGCGACTACTTGTATCACATGAATTTGAGCGGAGCAACCTTAGAGTCTATCTTCAATTTCTACGCCAGTATCCGAAAAGAGGCTAAATTGAATTTGGTGGATGGATCAGGTATATATTTATAGAAGTCATATTTTTTAATCTGAAAAGATTTGTTCCTAGTTTTCATGGTTTATAGACCATATAACTTGCACTATGTTTTCAGGCAATGCTCCCCACTATTCTCTAAGAACCCTATGCAGGGCCCTGACAGCCGCAGCTAAAGCAAAATGTGGCACTGTATCAAGGTCTCTGTATGAAGCCTTTTGCTTGTCGTTTCTGACGCAGCTGGACAGTTCCTCACATCCTAAAGTCGAAGCTATGATAGCGAAGTAAGTCATTTTAATAAGGTTCAAGTTCCTAATATTTTTCTTAAACAATAATTTAATGTCTTCCTTATTTTTGCAGAGCCGTTCTGGGAAAAAAGTCAGTCAAATCCATTCTGAACCAGATGATCCCCGAACCGCAAGTTCGTGGACAAAACTACCTGCTATTTGAAGGTCATTGGATCCCTCAGGGCAAATTGGATATCGACATACCTGAAGGTTACATCTTGACCTCAACAGTGAGGAAAAATCTCCGAGATATTGCACGTATCATATCTCTAGGACGACTACCGGTGTTGCTGCAAGGAGATACCTCTGTGGGAAAAACGTCCCTTATCACATACATCGCTAAAGCTTCAGGGAATTACTGCGTCAGAATAAATAACCACGAACACACAGATTTACAAGAGTATATTGGATCGTATGCTGCAGATGCCAACGGGCGTCTGATCTTCAAAGAAGGAGTTCTCGTCGAAGCGATGAGGAAGGGATACTGGATTATTCTCGATGAGCTGAACTTGGCACCTAGCGATGTCTTGGAAGCTTTAAATCGTGTTTTAGATGACAACCGCGAGTTGTTCATACCAGAGACGCAGCAAGTCGTCAAAGCTGATCCCAGTTTCATGTTGTTTGCGACTCAGAATCCTCCTGGTTTATATGGCGGCCGCAAGATGCTGTCCAGAGCTTTCAGGAACAGATTCGTTGAGTTGCACTTTGACGAGATACCACGAAATGAACTTGAGATAATTTTACACCAAAGATGTCACGTGCCTCCTGCTTATTCCAAAAAGATGATCGAAGTGATGGCAGAACTGCAAATCAGAAGGCGTGGTTCCGCTGCTGTACAAGGGAAAGACAGCTTTATTACACTGAGAGACTTGTTCCGTTGGGGACAGCGTTACAAACAAGCTTCGAAAGAAGTACTAACGGAAGAGAAGTTTTACGATTGGGATCAGCACATAGCAGATGAAGGCTATCTGGTACTGGCAGGGAAAGTCAGGCAATCTGACGAGCGGAAAATTATTGAGGATGTTATAGAGAAGCATATAAAGAGGAAGGTGTGTCCAGATAATTTGTTCAGCCTTCACCAGACCACGTCTCCAGTGACCAAAGCCATTTTGCAAACGATTCTCAATAACCAGCTCGTAGAGTTTGCGCATGTCGTTTGGACATACAACATGAGGAGGTTGGGCGTCCTGATAGCCAAAGCATTTACGTTCAATGAGCCTGTGCTATTAGTTGGAGAGACAGGCTGTGGTAAGACCACGATATGTCAAGTTCTAGCAGCGTTAACTAAACGACAACTGCTGTCTGTGAATTGCCACATGCACACGGAAAGCTCAGATTTTCTTGGAGGACTTCGGCCTGTAAGGCAGTACAAGAACGATGGAAGACTATTTGAGTGGGTTGACGGACCACTCATAAAAGCCATGGAGAACGGCGATTTGTTTTTAGCAGACGAAATTTCACTGGCTGATGATAGTGTTTTAGAAAGAATGAACTCTTTGCTCGAACCTGAAAGGCAGCTGGTACTGTCCGAGCGAGGCATGGAAGAGAATTCAGATATCGTGATTATAGCAGCGCAGGAGAATTTCCACTTTATTGGAACAATGAATCCTGGAGGAGATTTTGGAAAGAAAGAACTTTCACCCGCTCTTAGGAATAGATTCACCGAGATATGGTGTGATAGCGCTTCGTCCAAAGAAGACTTGTTGCGAGTGCTTGAAAACAGTGTCAATAAAGGGATTTCTTTGGGGAACCAAGAGGATGGTACTTCCGGGATAGGGTTTGCAATATTAGAATTTACGGATTGGTTAAAGGGGTCAGAAGTTACCAACAAATTCCCATTTAGTATCCGCGATCTTTTGTCCTGGGTGCAATTTATTAACGTGACCGTGGTAAAGAACCTTCTCGATGCCCCGGAAGCATACGTGCATGGTGCATGCATGACGTTCCTTGATTGTTTTGGAACGGCTCTTACAGGGCATATTGATTCAGAAACTTTGATCTTGCTGCGAGAAAATGCTATAAACTTTTTACTCAAACAGGTTGGAAATGATTACACACAATCGTTAAAAGATACACTTAGTAGCAAACATGTACAACTAAAAGCAGAGTACGACGGGCAAAGGTTTGGTATCAATCCTTTCTACATCGAAATTGGGCCCCAAATGGAGGTTTCAGAGGAGACCGATAAGTTCACGTTTACTGCACCAACGACTGGTTCGAACACGTTGCGGTTACTGCGGGGTCTTCAGCTAAATAAAGCCATCCTTCTTGAAGGAAATCCTGGAGTTGGCAAAACTAGTTTGGTCTCAGCATTGGCTAAATCGTCAGGGCACAAAGTGGTGCGCTTGAACTTGAGCGATCAAACGGTAAGCACAAAGTTGATTATGAGTTTTAAATTTTCTCTAGACACTAAAAAAGATTTTCATATACTTATTCTAATCTCATTTTGTGTTTCAGGACATCACCGATCTGTTTGGAACTGATCTACCAAACGAAAATGGATCTTTCACATTCAAAGAAGGCGCATTCCTTAGCGCTCTTCAAAATGGTGACTGGATCTTATTAGACGAGTTGAATCTGGCACCCCAGCCGGTCTTGGAAGGCCTGAACGCCTGTTTGGATCACAGAGGCGAGGTGTACATACCAGAGTTAGGGAAGACTTTCAAAGTGAAGGAACAGACCCGATTGTTCGCCTGCCAAAACCCCTTAAAGCAAGGAGGCGCCCGTAGAGGTCTACCTGTCTCATTCTTGAACAGATTTACCCAAGTGTACATAGATACTTTGACGAAAGATGACCTTATTTACATAGTCGAAGCGCAGTACTCGACATTGGACAAAGACATATTGCATAGAATAGTAAACTTCAACTGTGAAGTCGCGCACGAAATTACCGAGCTGCAGTGTTGGGGTCACCGAGGCAGCCCTTGGGAAATGAACTTAAGAGACATCCAGAGATGGTGTGAAGCCATGATTGAAGATCAGAAGAACGGAAAAAAGGTTTCTACCGGAAAGTTCGTGGATATGCTCTACGTCAATCGTATGAGAACAGCAGAAGACAAAGAGAAGATGAAAAGCAAGTACGACCAATTCTTCTGCCCCAAATATCCTCGAAGCGACTCTAACCCGCAGTTCAGTATAGGTATTGATGAAATTAGTATCGGAGATGTCTCATTGGAGAGGAACATAGAAAAATGCTTTAAAAATCGCAGAGTTATGCAGACCAGTTCGGTATTACTGCGGAGTCAGATGTCGTCTTTAAAAGCATTGGCTCAGAGCGTGAACATGAATTGGCTCTCGATCCTCGTCGGACCCACTGCTACAGGAAAAAGTACTATAGTTCAAGTACTCGCAGACTTGACGGCAAACGACCTCCATGTAGTTCCAGTGACGTCAGCGATGGACGTTTCCGACCTTTTAGGAGGATTCGAGCAAGTCGACCTCAACAGAAATCTGGAAAATCTCTTCGACAAAATAGAAACTCTCACAGTCCACGTTTTAAGAAATATATGGCTGAACCAAAACGCGAATTGGAAGTCGAACAATTTGCTTTCTCACTTGTACGAATATAATAAGTTGCTGAACAATGATAATAATGAGATGGATGAAATGACAAGGTTCAATGAAAAGATCAAGTTCCTTTTAAGACACTGTAAACATTTGGTTCGTCACACCGAACATTCTCAAGCGTTGACTGACAAATTGAAAGAATTGGAGGATAATTTGAACCGTTTGCTTTCGAAAGCGGCTAAAGCGTCATCGGTGAATGCCGGTGGGAAATTCGAGTGGGTAGATTCACTGTTAGTGAAAACCTTGATCGAAGGGTCGTGGTTGTTGTTGGACAACGTCAATTTGACGTCATCAGCCGTGTTGGATAGGTTGAATGGCTTATTGGAGCCAAACGGCGTTTTAAGTATACCGGAGCGTGGAGAAATGTGTGAGATCAAGCCGCATCCTAACTTCAGAATTTTCTTCACCATGGACCCTAAGTATGGAGAGATTTCGAGGGCTATGAGGAACCGAGGTGTGGAGATATATTTGCTTCGACCAGATGATTGGAATGTCACTTTGACGGATACCATGCCCTACATGGATCTAAGCGCTCTGCTGCTGTCATGCGGCCTCCCAGTGAAGTTCCATAAGCTGTACCTTAAGTGCCATGAATTGATGGAGTCGTATATTCAAGGTAAGACCAATTTTATTATTTTCATTTATTCACAGTTGTTAAGGCTCCTCCAGTGAATGTAAATTGACGTAACTTACTTGAGGATTTTTTGTTTTCTCTTAAGTCTTTCTAAACATATTTATTTGTAATATATTCTTTATGTTGTAGGTTTAGAACGGCCAACGATATACCACTTGATGCAAGCCGCTCATCTCAGCCGTCAGCAAATGATCCGAGCGGTGCCCCACGATATAGCTCTACTAAACAGTTTCTCTGACGTCTACATCAAACCTCGGAGTATGGCAGACTTCGCTTCAAACTGCCAGGCTCCTCTAGCAAAGCTAAAGAATGACATGTTAAAAACAATTGAACTGGAACTACAGAATACAAAAGTCGTTGATGACATCGAAGCCAGCAGTACTCTACGGGTCAAAGAACTGTGCACACACTCTGCCCATGAACTGGCAAATCGATTAGCTTACAGCGTCATTCAAATCGATGAAGCATCGAGTTTCGAGAAAACACTAAAAAACACACTTTACAATTTGTTCGTAGCCTACCAAAGATGTCCCAAAGAAATTCTGCCCGCTTTGCGCATGGTTATAGACAGAACATTCAACGACAGAGAAGAATATGACTACAAGTACAAAGTATACAGTCTAAATTTCAATGAATCGATCTTCAATAGCTCTGAGGCTCATACGTTATTGAAAACCCATCTAAGGTTTTTGCCAGAACAATGCACGTTAAATGAAGAAGCAATCAAAAGATTGAATGAAAGCACTCTCATTCTGTACATGCAACTGGTGGCGTCATTTTACATAAATGTCAAGCCTTCATCCGAGGGGATTAAATTCGTAGATTACTCGAGAGCAGTTCGCATGGATCAGTTGACAGATGACTTCTCTGAATACCCACTTTTGAGAAACTGTCTGAATTACATTGAATACATTGACGATTGTACCTTGAAAGTCATCAAAAGCCTACAAGATAAACTGGACGATGAAACGACTATCAATATTCTGCGACTTCTAAACTGGAAATACAGATTCCTAGACGTAGCGTATTCATGCATGTTCCTAAAACAGGATGTGACCAGGAAAAAGAGAATTCTCGACTTGAAACTGGTAAAATCGATCTATCTGCATTGCAAGTGGGTGGAGAAGCACCTCTTCCAAGAAATGTTTAAGATCTTGCCTCCAGACAATGAAGTAAAGAAACAGTTTCATTCAAAAGTGCTGAGTTTCACTGGAGTTAACGACCAAGTCAGCGCCAAATCTGCTGTATTCGGGAAGAAGCTTAGGAAGTTGGTTGGCCAGCCAATATTATACGCGAATCAGGGTCAATACGAACTGTGTCAGACGAGGCGCACTNGACGAACTATATTCAAGAGTGCCTCTATAAATCTGAAACAGCCTCTAGAAAGACAGAATCAAATTCTACGCTTAAACTACAATGTGGCGAGCGACTTGAAATTGGCGTTAGACGTTCCAGACGAGGAAACATTGAATACTATTATACAAAACAGCTCTATAAGTTCTAATTCTGATCAGTACAAGACAGATGCTTCCGTGTTACCCTTCAATGCTTGTGTTATACAAAGGGTACTGATTATTTTGAAGGAACAAATATTCAAAGTTGTAAATGACTTGACTGCGGATGAAAAGAAGTTTATTTTGAGGAAAGATTTCAGTGAAGTGTTGGCCAATATGGTGCATTTTGCAAGGGTTTCTAAAGGACTTGCGCCAGAGTTGTTGAGCCTGCTTGACTACTTGTCCAAGTTGACGGACGGCACCTTTGACATAAATGAAGTGAAAACAAGGTAAATACTACTCCAACTTCTATTATTTCCAAAAATTTCTTACTTTGTGTTGTGTGATCGCCAGCAAGTCAATCTACAAACTTTTTAAAGTTGCCAAATGATAACAGAAATTAAATGGCTGTACTGACTTCACCATAAAATCATATTTTTATCCAATGATTGACAAATTTGAACTTTCTGCTTCTAGATATAAGGTTCAAAACCAATCGACGATCTAATATGTAATTCATATAACGATATCCTGCCTTCTTTCAGCATATCAAGTCTTCCAGTAAGATTGTACGACGAACTTTACAAAGCGCTGACTCACTCGCCTGCCGTATACCCTCACCCATTCCTGAATGTGAATAATGACACAGCCCCTGAGAAAGTACCCATTGATAGCAAGAGGATGTCTACAAACTTACCGTTGATGCCGTATTATGTACAGAACATGACCTTGTCGAAGGATCTTGAAGGTATTTATTCTATAAATATATTTTTGTTGTATAGTCCCGATTTAATTTAAGATAGGATAGTTGAAACCGTTGACATAGTTTTTGCGAACTGTCAAAACGCGTCCACAGATTTAGAGTGGTGAAGACAAACTATGACGTCAATTTTTTTTCCAACTTGAATGGCTCACTATTTATTGAAAATCTCAATTTACAGTTAATTGAAAATTATTTTTCAGGGACTTTTTTGTTTTTGAGAAGTTGTGTCTTGAAGTATTTTTCAATTGATAGCATCAACTGCTCAATATCTAGTCTTAATAATTATTAATACAACAAGTACCTACTTGTATTGTATATGTATGCAGCTTTTCCCTTAGTTTCAATATTCCTTTTCGTTTCTAGGATCCCATCACGTGCTTGCTTACGAGACTGTGCCGTTACAAGAACACGCCAAGTATTCAAGCCAGCTGGAGATCATACAGAATATGATATGGAAGAATATGGCCACGCTTAGCATGGCGGTCAAGTCCTCCGTGTAAGTATATTTTTTTTAATTATCGGCAATAGGCTTCATAAATAGGGTATTTGACACCAGAAATAAATTGTCCTACTTTTTAAAACTGTCAAAACGAGACTCTCCCATAGATTTTGTATGGCAATACTAGCCTGTGACGTCACTATTTATGAACTCTTAAACTACTTTTTACAATTACAATCCAACCAAAAATCTTAATTCACGGGTAATTTAAAGTTTAAAACCAGAATGGAGTGTTTTTTTAAGTAGTTTTGGAGTTATTTGGAAATGGGGTCAAATACTCAATTCATATAAGTATTTTTTATAAGGGCACATACGAGTATGCTACATGGCTTTATTATTTTCAGAGATACAAATTTGAATTTCGAATTGAAGAAATTCGACCAACTGATGGCTTACGTGCGCCAAGTGTTGCCAGATTATGACCAAATGTGCGAAAAATTGAATTTGTTAGACAATGCAGCCCATTTAGACTTCGAAGTCGAAGATCGACCAATATTCGTAGACATGATTCACGACGCTCTCCAAGTCTGCAAAAGGCTGAAAAATGTTTCATCTGAGGATCTTTATGATCATTCTGTTGAAACGAAAGTATTGACTGCCAAAGTCGCTTTGTATACCAGTATCATTTTAGTCACTGTGATGTCCAAAATGAAACCAACTGACCACGTGGAGAAATATCGCCTGAAACTCCGTTATATAGACGAGGATTTAAATACCTTAGATGGATTACTGACAGCTTATTATATGCAAGGGTTGGTGTTCGGAAATTTAATGGACACAAAGCAAATATCATTTTCTGATGTGACCACTGAAATGTTGATGGGTAACAAAGACAGTTTGAAGAAAATGCACCCACATTGTGGGGTAATTTTTGAAACCAGGGAGAAAACGTTAGCAAAAATATCCAAGTACGCTAAAGGAAATACATTCAGACCTGAAGATCCGACATATGACGTGTTCCTCACGGTATGTATTTATTTTCAACGTGGAAATTTACACTATTTACAGTAATTGTTCTTCAGTAATCCTTATTTTTTCTTTTTAGGATTGCACACACGTATCCAAGTCTGTTTTGAAAGCAAAAACATCTTCCCACCTGGCCTTGAGCTTGAAGGCAAGCTCCGATCATTTGCTACAGATTCTCCAAGGAATGCCTCAGGGACAGGGCGAATTCAGCCTGTCTAAAGCGCTAAAAGACGCCTCTCACGCTGTCCAGGAATCCAAACTATGGCTGTATTCACTAAACGCTTTCTACAAGAAACTTGAAACGGAATATTCCGATGCCTTCCCTGATATAGCAAAACCGTACTTGATGTCGATATCTCAAGTGGAAAATAGCATAATGTCGCTTAACGACTTGGTGAAGGAAATGTCCGCGAAGATTGAGGCAGGGCCAAACTTTGTGGAAACGATAATAAAGTTAATGAAGTTCCCGAACAGTATACCAAGCGATACGAAAGAGAAATATTTGGTGCAGTATTTGTCGCCAACTTTGATGCAATATCTGCTTAAAAATAAGGTGGTAAATGAAGGAGAATCGCAAAACGGGCGCATGGAAATGATTGAGTAAGTAACTTTTTTATTTTAAACGTATGTAATTGTTATCGCATAAATCTAAAGTTTGGTAAATACACAGTATTGTTACTGTTGTGCATTCGATAATATGATAATGTCGTCAAAATATACTAATTATTATAATATTCTCGTCTTTCTTCTGTTTAATGTATTTTATGCTCTATATTTTTTCAGGTTATTAAAAATGAACTTATCAGAGCTGAAAATGCACGCCACGGCGCTGGAGTCTGTAGACAATGCTACAATAAACGCTGTCCAAATGACTCTAAAGGAACTTGTTGATATTTGGTACAAAGAGCAAATGGATATCGAAAAGAAGAAGCAGGATGATGAAGCGCTTTATGTGACCAAGTAAGTAACATAAGCACGTTTATGTGTTTTGTAAATTCTGATTGGTCCATACTAAAAAGACATCCTGTATAAATGGAGTAATGTTTTCGACCAGTAGTAAACGCTTATTAGACATACAGCTCGAGTTTAGGTAACTACGGAAGATCTCTCACTTATGGAAGAATGCTATGTATGATAAAGATAAAGATATTTTTATTTATCAGACCATGTGTGAGACAATACAGAAATATATATGATTAGACATAGATTTAAAATAGGGAATGTGTGTTTTACAGATTCAAAACATGCTCGTAACTTAAGTACGTGCGATGTCACATTAAAAGTAAGCACTGTAGGATCTTATGCAGTTGTAAGATATTATGCTATTTTACAAGAAAAACGTGTAAAAAACTTTGTTCGTCGAAATAATTGTTCTGGTATATTGTTTTAGGTCTAAATGTGAAGATGAAGATGACGAAGTAACAGCCCAGAAGGAAATAAAGGAATTATTCCCCTCATTTTCTGACGTCGATTTCGGGGAATTCAAACCTCCAACCCTAGAACAAAAGCCTGTTCATCCCACAGAGCACACGCCCAAACAAAAACCTCTGTTCTCATCCGAAGTTATATCCTTGGTTTACAAGTGGCATTCGAACTTCGTACGAAATATGACGAGGGCAGAATGGTTACCCATTCCGAAGAAGTTGGTAGGTAACGATGTGGTGAGCCCTCTGTTACAGAGGTATCCTATATTCGGCCAGGTAGTCGAGAATTGCTGGGAAGCTATTGGGGCGGAGGTTGAATGTATCCTGACACCTAGTTTGATGGTGATATTGTCGCAAATGAAGGAGCAAGTCGATGGAAGTGGTAAGTGATCTTGAATTTGATACAGAAAGCGTATTTTGTGTAAATAAATGAAGAAATAAGTTGTTTTACAAAATCTCCTTTGCTATAGTCTGCATAATTATACTTAGGCCCTTACTAATAAAAATTACACGCGCGTTTAACGCTTCTTTAAATAAACTTTTAGTATGAAAATGTAATTTTAAACTACTGTTCAACGCGTGTGTAACTTTTTATTGGTTAGAGGATTAAATATTATGCATTATCCCTCTTTATGTACGCAATTAATCATGTTAAAAATACATTTTATTATTAAATGCTTCTTTCTTATTTCAGCGTCACAGAATACAAAAATTGACTTCTACCGGTCTCCATGGGTGGCGGAGACTCGCCAGTGTTACCCGTTGTTGACTATGGTCAAAGACGCCACGAACACCTTGCTTGACCAATGGCCGGACTTCCCTACACTGAAAGACGTGAGCATTTCTTCCTTTTTGATATAAAATTATTTATTGAGATAAATAGTGTCTATGTAGTCACGACATTTAATAATAGTTTTGGCCTTCTGGCAATACAAAATGCTTCTTATTATTCTGTTCCTAATAGTGATGATAATATCTTTGAAATCTCCATGTATTTTTTGAAAGAAAACCAAGAGCCCGGCTAACCCCTTGTGATAAGCTAATTATGCTTGTTACGTGTGAGTTCACCACATTAGACCAGCGGTGGCGGGGTTCGAAGTCGCTTTCGGATTTTCGAATATTGTCGCTTATATTATAATTATTTACTTCCAGATAATCGTAATAATAGACCGCATCCTCGGCTTCCCGGTGACAAGTCCCGTGTCCCGGTTCCTTACCGGCTTAGAACTCCTCCGGGACAAGATTGAGGAGTGGAACAAAAACGCCCACAAAGGCAACAATATGGTCGAACAGTCGCTATCGGTCGGACAACAGATCGTGAACTGGAGGAAACTGGAAATGGGACATTGGAAGGAGTGCCTCAACAATTTATATCAGAGGTACCCATTACTATTATCAAGTAAATACCGTAAAACTTGGCGGGGGCACGGCTATAGTTGTAACATGTGCAATTGCATTAAAATTGTGTACATAGTCTGATGACTAACCAATCTTGTTATCTGTGATGTGTGTGACTCAAAAATTATTGGTGTTAAATTACACCCAAGGTATATTAAGTCTTGGGCATCAACTTAAGGGATATTTCGAGTGACTTTGATCCGTCATTAGCTTTCACACTAGATTCATTTTGCAGTACCTATACATTTTATAAGTACTATTATTAATTTCTTAAGTGTTTTTGTAGGCCCATATTTTTCGCATGCCCTTGTATATTGACAGGCGAGCTAAGTAGAAAAAATATAGTAAATACTGACTTGTATATTACGTTTTCAGAAAGCAAGCCGAAGCGCACAAATACTGGTTCTACCTATTCAACGTCATCCAGTCCCACTTGGAGCAGACAGAAGATACGCATGACGTATCTTGCGCGCGCATCGTTAACGTGCTACGGGAGTTCATGGAGCGATCTAGCTTGGCCGAGTTTGATGTCCGTTTGGATATTATTTACTCATTCCATTGTCAGCTGGTGCATTTGGAGTCACATGACAGACGAGGTACGTTTGTTATAACAGCTTAATAGAGAGAGAGAGAGAGAGATACGATCTGTCTCGTATATTTCTCCCCACTTGGAGCAGACAGAAGATACGATATATGGTGCGCGCGCATCGTTGAATCGTTAACGAGGTATGATTTTATTAGAAGTTTGTTACTGAAGTTATATTTGTCATCTATCTTTATCTAACACTCATGAAGGTATCTTTTCTTGAAAAAACGAGAGAGGCGACAGAGAGAGAGAGAGAAATAGAGGAGAAAGTGGGAGAGGGGGATAGATATGAGACAGATATAGTTTCTCAAAAAGTATACAGCAGTTACATATACACATAACAGTTCCTTCATCATTTGATGACGTATGCCCGTTTTCACCATCAATCCCTAATTTTTAATTAACCCCTATGGTAACACAAAACAGGAATTTTGTTTTCATAGGGGTCACTTAAAAATAAGGGATTTATGGTGAAAACGGGCATAAGTCACCGTACTCTTGAATATTATTTCTTTGTTTCAATAATTACACTATTTCTTAATTCCAGACGAACTCCTAGCTATTCTCTGGAACACCTACAACTACTACGCACAGTTCAGAGCGCAAGTGGCCGCGCATATAAAAGAGAAGCGAGCGCCAATAGAGAAGAAACTGCGAGACTTCGTCAAGATATGCTCCTGGGATCGAGACCTGAGCTACTGGAGCGTGAAGGATACAGTTGACAAAGCGCACAAAGCTTTGCACAAACATACCAAGGAGTTTGAGGTGAGATGAACTGCTTTTTGAGACTCAGAATTTCAAGTTTCAAGTCGGTCTTGTAAAAAATATTTTTCGGTGTTGGTGCAATCTTTTGACTATTTAGGACTGGTGAAGCTTGACAATAACGATGATGGCTTTATAAGGCTTTTATACGAATTTACCTCATAAGAAGGTTCAAGGTCACCCAAAGGGCGATGGAGCGGGCTATGCTTGGAGTGTAGGGACACTTCACCACACACAGGCAGGGGCCTGATCGAATCAGAAATGAGGAGATCCGCAGGAAAAATAAAGTGACCGATATAGCTTCGTAGAATTTCTGAAATAAGTGGCAGTGGGCCGGGCACTTAGCTCGTAGAAATGATGGCCGTTGGGGCAGAAAAGTTGTTATAGAAGTCCTTAGAGGAGGCTTTTGTCCAGCAGTGGAAGTCATTTGGCTGAAACAAACGATACGAATTTACATTCATGTTTGACGTATGTGTAAGTAAATAGACACGTACAGTGCTATACATGATAAATAAAAAATCTCCATGTTCACAATCTCGAAGCAACTGGAATGTCAAGCTTTTCTAATGAAACTCATTCATTCATCTTTTTTTTTTAATATTACTTTTACTAATAACTATGGTTCAGTAATTACTAACATCCCTTAACCCCTCCAGTTAATTTAAACATACTTATGTTTCTTTCCCCACCAGAACATCCTCAAAGAGAGCGTGTCCAGTTGCCTAGTGGACAACAGTACCGACAGCGGGGCTGATCACGTGGGAATATGGGACCGCCCCAAACGCACCACCGGGGCCGCCGCGCCTACAGGCGGGGCTTACATGATCGACCCACAGAACTTTGTGCTGCTGACGCGAAATGTTAAGGTAGGTTTACATCCTAATAAGATATTATTATTAAAATAGTAAGACACGGGTCTTAACGCGACTTTTATTAATGAGTTACATCATGTACTCAAGGCTTTACGTTTCGGCTGCTATGCTGCAGCCGTGGTCACAAGCAGACCCGTGTCTTACTATTTTCGTTGAAATGGAACGCGAAAGTTTAAAATCTTAGATATTATTATTGTGATTAAAACATAGTATACAGGGTGTCCCAAAAAGTAATAGACCCATAACACGAATGTAAACTCAAAAAGTTGAAAATCCTGTATGTTGTAAAAAAATCATAACTTGAAAGCTATCAAAAGTCGCGGTAATTCGCGTAGCCCTAGTACTTTACCTCTGGGTTTCGGCTTGTCACTACTTTTTGGGACAGCCTGTATATACAGATATCGGTGTTTATGTTGGAATGCGCATGTTTTTCTTTATAAGTTATTACTTGGTGTTTTTTTTCTTTAATTTCTTTGGATTTAATTTTTGGGATCCACTTTATTTGAGTTAGGTACATAATATTTGAACACTGAACACTAAAAGTGCATTGATTGTTGAATATGCTAACAGTAATTAGTATATCAATCTGCATAAAACTTATAAATTAACAAAATTGCAGACACTTCAATAACAATTAAAAATTAAAGTTCTTTTCTCTAACACTCAACTCCTGATTTAATCTTTCTTCTCTTTTCTTCCATAGCCGTCGGAGAAGGTAAAATACTTTATTAGATATTAGTGTTCTAACAATCACTGGTCTTACTAAGCTTTGTTGTACTCGTAGTGTTGTGTAGTATTTAAATTGACGACTGTGTTACTCAATTTTAGACGACAGAACATAATATCTAGCTCTACGTTATGGAATTTCATGTATTTGTAATGGGTCGTATTTTGCAACAAAAAAAAAACATAGTCTTATGTGCCAAGACTATTGGGAATGTTATATCGTAATTTTTATCCTAGTGAGTACGAAACAAAGATTATGAATAAGATAGAATAATAATTTAGTAACGTAGTCATCAATTTGTAAGGCGTTGAAGTATTTGTTTGTGTAGTATCTAGTGTATAACAACCCAGGGTTCAGGTCGCATGTATTAAAAATATCATAGGTTCTGGTAGAATGTGATAGTACACTTAACGGCAAATCAAACACTTGCATTTGCACTGAAAACTCGCTTTTATTTCGTGGGGAATATTAGTGAGTTTACAATAGGCATGTTTGATGTGTTGCTGTGTGTGTACACAGATTTGTTCTTTGTTATTTTGTTTTTGTATGTCCTAGACTTAAGTTAAAGCATCAGATGTATCATATAAAGACATTTTTAAAGTTATTTTTTTAAAGAGTTTTTGTAAAGATTTGATAGAATCGTAGTCTTTGCATAGTTAGAAAACTTACTTCATTAGAACATCATTTTGCTTATCATTCAATTTGATTATAATTTTAATCCTATATTTTATCCCTCAGAAATACCTCGACCAAGCAGAACAGTTAACGGCCTGGATCGCCGAAGGATCGCTGCTGTCCAAAATACCAAGCCTAGTCAACAAAGCGAAGACGCTGTGTAAAGACACCATCACTAATTCGCGGTACCCAGCCTTGGTGCAGGGTTTGGACGACTTCGTGACCGCTGTGATCGAGACTAGCACTCATCTTGGCTCTTTGGAGGTATGTATCTATACTAAAGTGTAGGTCACGCAGTGACTTATGATATTTGGCTCCGAAACGTGGCCTCTCACTATAGGCCTCATAAAGAAGTTTAAAGTTGCACAGCGTGCTAATGCTATGGAAAGGTGCTCGGTGTTTCTTTACGAATCAAAAATGAGGAGATCCGTAAACGAACTATTCTCTGACGGATTAGGAAGCTGAAGTGACAATAATGGGCAGGGCGCATAGTACGCAGAACTGACGGCCGATGAGGTAGTAAGACTTTGGAACGGAGGCCACCCACAAAGTGGACCGACGACCTCACAAAGATGGCAAGTAGGCGCTGAATGCGGGCCGCTACCAGCCAGGCGATGTGGAAATCGTTGGGGGAGGCCTATGTTCAGCAGTGGCTGAAATGATCATGCTGTACAGTAGAATATACCTTAGCCACGCGCCAATTACAATTGAAAATTTTAGCCCCATTATAAATAATTTAAAAAAAATCTTAAATATCTTAAAACTTTAACCCTTGTGTGTTCAATTTAAGGCTGACACTTCCCTACCAAAAGACAAACAAATGTCCCAAGCCAAGAACATCGTCCAGCAAAAGCGCAAAGCCCTAGCTGATCTCTTCAAGTACCTCATGAAGATGGGTCTCAACTACCGCTCGGGACTGCTCCTGTTGTCTATGACTGAGAACGAGATCTATGACTTCACTATTCCACCTGTGGACGTCGACGCGTTGATGGGCTATTTGAAGAACAGGTGAGTGTGTTAAATACAAGTAAATATCAGTATTAAGAGGTTAAACATCCAATTTATAGCAAAGAAAAAAATTGTTCACACAAAATGCATGACAGAATTTAATTTAAATAAATGAAAGGTCTTAAACCCAAGAACAAAGTTATTTTTTCGCTGTATTACTATAGGTCTCTCTCTCTTAATTCAGTCAGGGAGGGGTGGCATTGAGATGTATGATGTGACAAAGAATACAAATCAGACGTGTCTCTGACGTTTGACATCTACAAAACACTCCTCCTTGAAGCTCCCATACCTCATGCACTAACTGAGTTAAACGCTACTTATAATAATATCTGTATCCCCACGCAAGCCTCAAAAAGGACATGGCCACCTTTGACCCATGAGCTCCAAAGCGTACAATATACTTATTAATAATATAATATACTTTTATTGTAGGCGCTGCGACGCGGCTCTAAGTTTACTTTGGTCTGGCTGCGAGACGTACTTCCAAAAGAACATAGCGCGACACCGGCTGCTATCCTCAGCACTACAAACGCCACATCAAGACCTGGGACTGCCCAATATTGAGAGGTGTAAAGGATTCACCGCTCAGTTAATGGTGAGTAATGCCACAGAATAATAATAAGTACTACGTACAGAAGATTTACTTCGCGAAGGTATTTAAAAAAATGTATGCTCAATGTCATTAACAATATGGTGTAATTTAGCTTGTCACAAGAGTCAAGCAAGTTTGTCAGAAGTTTTGTTGACAAACGTCAGTGATCGGTACTGCGCCGAAGCTATAGGGCTGACTTCGGTAAAATGATGTGACGTGAGGTGTCAATCTGCAGAAAATGGCGGAGGAAATACATGATTTAGCATGAATTATCATGAATAATATTAACTACTTATTTAACTCTCAGTGTCTTCAGGCAACTTAAAAAAGTACATTCTGTGTTTTTATTATTATTTAGGCAGTTAAATACTGCACAGTATTTAGTACACCATTTTCTTTATTTTCTTCCATCATACACAAGAATACGCGTGCGTGAGTCAATGTTCGCTCGTATGTGAGGCCTTGTCGAATAGTACTCTTGTAGGGGGCAATCGTGCGTGTTTTGTTTTCGATGTAAACTCGCGGAGATGAACAGGCCTGGTAATGCTTACAAACCTCACAAAATTTAGATTTATCACTTAATTGAATCAGTGCTTGAGTTAAGGGAGTGATACAGGAGGGTGTTTTGTTGACTCTTTATTTACTGTTTGCGACCTGTCTTAATATGTCAATGTCACCCCTCCCGTGTCGTTCCATACCTCAGGCACTAGACTTAGGCTGAGTTGCACCACCTAACTTTAACGGTAACTATTACGATAACCGGTGATTTTTGTATGGAGTATGACAGATTTTTGACGCTTGTTAAAGTAAGATGGTGCAAGTCTGTCTTTCTTCAATGGTGTCAGTCTTATTTAAGTTAATACCGTATGATTTATAAAAAATAAAGCACTAAATCCAATATTCACTATTGCAGCATCTAACAATTACACAAAAGAAATCAATATCAAAATACTCGCAATATCTGTACGATTTGCGCACTGTCACGACAAATATAGAGAACATTCTAGAAATTGACGCCACTGATGTCAACATTACAACAATGGAAGAGAAAATAACCATTCTCACTGAATGCTACGCGAACTGTAGCATATTACTTGACCAGTTCAGCGTTCTACTAAAGTCTTGTCCAGAAAAAACATACACGGAAACTGAATTTGATTTGGTACTGTCAGATTCGCCAATCGTACGTTGCTTCAAAAACAGTGACGAATGGAACGAACTGTACAAACAAGTGAAAGCTATCATCGCTACGGTGACAAAAGAAAAAGCGAACCTCCTCAAATTACAACCTGTTCCTAAGAAGTTCGCAAACAATAAAGAAAAATCCATTCCTACTATATCTCAGGCGCACATTGATATTACAAAAGAGGCCAGAAATGCACTGGAACGTATGATAAGCCAGATAGATGATATACTGAAGAAATATAACTTCACATTGAAACATAAATCCGCTTTCAATTTGGCCGAATCGCCTCAGCATCCAATCCTTACGAGCTTGATTGAATTGACTGACTATTTGACAGGAACCATCAAAAAGATTGACGATTTAAACCAGCCCAATAAAGATTCAAACACAGAGGACTTGACTGACAAATTGATAAGCAACACTAAAGATGTAGTCGCGAATTTGCTGTTAATCATCCAATCGGTCTACAAGAAGCATTTGCCTAAAGGCAAGGAAAGCAACGAGCTTCTGAATGAAATAGATGACAGTGAAAAAGAAGTTGAAAGGGAAGATTCTAAGGAATTGCTGGAAGACAATCATTTAAGAGAGCTTCTTCATGAACAAATAATGAATGACGGGAAGCTGTTACAGTTGAGGGTTTTGATTGAGAAATGTAAAGGTTTACTACGTGATTACGTGGAGTATGTGGCTTCTACAAATGACGTGGAGAAGGGAAGGGATACGGTCATGAGAATGGTGCCAATATTGGAGCAGGCGGTTCTGTTCGTGCAGTATTTTGTGACGCAGAAAGTGGCTGTTCATAGAGTGTCGTGCAAGATGCTGTCTGTCTTGCTGAAAATCTTCTCGGACTTGGCTACTAAAGGGTACGTAAATTTTTCAAACTTAGTAAATTCATTCTTTAATTGGTTTTTTTTGTATTTCTTATGTAGTAAATTCTATTTCCACGTGTTTTTTTGGATCGATTCAAGGTAAAGAAATGAAAAATTCTGTGTTAATAAAATATTATGCGTTTTCGTTTTTATTCTCAACAACTTGTTCAACGATTAAATAACTCATAGCTTATACGAATATTCACTAATATTTGCCGTTTTTCTGCAACCGCTACGTGTGTTTTCATTCGATATGCTATTCGATCCGATGAATATGTGTACATAATAATGTATATTTTAGATTCTGCAAGCCTTCTGACATGGAGGAAGAAGGCGAGGGTGAAGGCGGACCAGGAAAGTTATCAGGAGGCACTGGCCTCGGGGACGGCGAGGGACAGAAGGACGTCTCGGATAGAATCGAAAACCAGGTAAGATGATTAAGCGAATATGTGACTTGACTGCTTGGTATATCGCACCCTTAATAATGAATGGGCACAACTCCAAAATTCAGTTTTTTGGGAAAAGCCAAAAAACCAATCGGCGGATCGCGGTTTTTTACATAATTGGCTCTAAAATCTTTATTTTATCAGCTATAACTTTCAAATTAAGCATACTTCATCACTGGTATCTGTTATATAATTTGACATAAGACATTTTTGAAAATATTGATTATGAGTATGTAAAAAAATTGTTTAAAAAAATATTTCAAAGTTAGGCCTTTATTTTACTATTTCTGTTGTTGTGATTTTGGGTATTACTTGTACTTGTGCCCATCTAATCCTTAGGCTGAATTGTTTTATATGGCATATTCCCTAATATTGCTCTCTAATATTTAAAAATAAGTGTATTATTCGATTTTTATATTGATTTACGCCCAATAACATTGGGGACAGTTATTGTGCGGTATAGTAGCTTATAGCCAATTCAGTATAAGAGTAGGGTGCTGAATACTAGAAAATTATTAGATATGTCGAATTAGATTAAAATAAAGACTATTAGCTATTTCTCTGAGAAAACCGACATGAAAATACTAATTTTATGCATTCAAAATATTTTTACTTAGATAGATAGGGACTCTTACCCTATAAAAAATATGCTTTTTATCAAATAAAGAAAAAACCTACAAAAACTTTTTCTGTAAGGTTTTCTGTTATGGATTTGTTCAGGATAATCACTTATTAAAGTCCAACAGCCAGTACCTTGGTATCTTTTTTCCACTATCCTGCTGTCCTGGTGGAAGGAACCGTTCTCCTTGTCCCTTACTATAATCACCCACATTATGTGGGAATCAGTTCAAATGGCTATTGTAAAAAATACAATTTAATACTCAAATTGGCGTGTGTAATTTTTGAAGGATTTTAGCAACCAATTTTGAACACAAGAATATCTATTCTGGTGTTCTAACATTCCCCAAAAAATATTTTACTACTAAAGCACCTTAGCCATGCTTCAGATTCAATTTGTGTTATATGGTTTACAAATACAGTCTTTTATAAGAGCACGGATTTGCAGTCCATCGAAGATAGCTGCTTTTAATTTTTCCGTACTCATCATCATTTTGCTTTTGATCATTTTAGTGATTAGAAAGCTCAATACATATCTTTGGCCCTCCAAATAGAAGCCCTTTACGTCCTGCTTGACTTCAGTATTGCAAAGAGTCTAGGTACACAAGGTTTACGACGATATTGGACACCCAATATTTATTATTTTGTACAATTTTTATCCCAGAGTATGCTTGGTTTGTTATCACAAACTCCGTGATCTTTTTTCTTTGCTTTTGTGTACAATATTTGCCACATATTAATAAAAACTGGTGTTAACACAAGATTACATTACGAACTCACATTTTTAAGACAAAAAGCACTTTAGAACTTAAATTTAGACAAACTGAAAATTTCAAGGTCTAATAGCTGATCAGTAAAATTGTAGTAACTTAATACGTGAAAAGATAATTTTAAAATAAATTCGATGTATCCTCAGTCCTCAGAATCTGAGTAATTAACTAGCATCAATTTATGTGATCGTAATAAATTAATGAATAATATAATTAAAAATTATAACACTATCATATTAAAGTAATTCATCTTTTGGCTGACTAGTGCGTTTATTCATAAAATAAACAAAGAAAAAAGCCAACCCGAGCCCCGAGCGAACGTTAATAGCCTTAACACGTAGGTATGTCTCTTATTTTATAAATCATTAGTTTATTTGTCGGGAAGTATTTCATAACCACCGCTTTATTTCTTAGCATCGCGATAAAACATTCTATAGGCTCCTAATCAACCAACAGGTATGAAAATTAATACCAAGAAGCAAATTACTTTTATAGGAGAGTTGTAAATTTAACTACAAACACCCATCTATGGTCCGCCTACCTAAAGCTAAATTTATATTTTATAATTTTCTATGATTAACGGGACCTTATCAATGTAATAAAAATGAAAATGTAACATATTATTAGAAATATATGGAATTAATTAGACTTAGCTCACTAACACTTACTTAAAAGTTTGTCACACAAAGGCACAACTCCAAATTGGACCACAGTCGCGGGGCCGGATTCGACAAATATCGGCATGTCTCTGATTCAGCCCTTCTAGCGGGAAGATAGATGAAAGTATGGAAGGGGCACAAAATGTAGAACTCTTTTATCTGATCATTGTTTTCGATTTCTGTGAAAGCCATCTTGTAGAACTGACGAAAATATGCCTCTCTAGTACAAAAAGTAAAAAACCAAAAATTTTGAGTTGTGCCCCTATATTATTAAGGGTGCGATATGGTCTATATTTCATGGATTCTAGGTGAATGCGAAATGAGGTGATACGATCCTTATTGACTTGATTCTACATTACCACTGTATAAGTCTGTCGGCCGTTTGTGTGTATGAATGTATTTACGAAATACGTATGTATTTACAAAAAAAAAGTATTTAAGTATGTTTATATCCGTTGTCTAGTACCCATAGTACAAGCTTTGGTTAGGTTGGGACTAGAAGCGCAGTGTAAAATGTCCAAGGATATTTAAAAAAAAGTGTATTGTATCTAATTTTTAACATGCACACTCTTTAGCCCTTTATCAAACTATAACAAAATTGTGCAATACATTTTAAACGTTATTCCTTTGGCTAAGGTCCAAAAAACAATGGATAATTTAACTTTGCATGTTTTACGCAACCAACGTTCCTGACTGTATTTTTAATATATCCTTTATAGGACCAGTTAGAAGATGCTCATCGCCCTGGCGAAGAAAAGAAAGACGAAGAAAAAGATTGCAAAGAAGAAGAGAAAGGTATCAACATGACTGACGATTTCGATTCGCATCTTCAAGACGTTGACAAGAAAGGTAAAGACCAATAAATTTTACAGATGTCACAAATTATGCTTTCCTTAGTTTAATTAGGGAGATGCTCAAAATTTTTTTCTCTTTTTGTAGAAGGTGAAGACTCGGATGAAGATGATGATGAAGACGACCCTGACAAGCAAATGGGTGAAACTGACAATGCAGCTGAAAAGTAAGTACAAAATACTTGTTTTAACATAATATTAAAATATAGTTCTTGCAACTCACGAAGGCAAGTGAGCTTTACTGGTGTGTGTACGTGTAATGAGGGTTTTTCGTGATTGGTGGATTTTGACATATCTGTCAATGTCATGTCAAAAATAACCAATCATGCAGCATTTGGACTTCGCGCCAACGTATTGCCATCTGGCGGATTTTTGAATCGCGAAAACCCTCATTGCACATTACGATAGTGTAATGTCTATCAAAACTTTTTAAAAACGAACAGTGGCGAGCCACCACACATGTAAAGCTCACTCGCCTTCGTAAATGAGGGTTTTCGCGATTGAAAAATCCGCCAGATGGCAATACGTAGACGCGAGGTCCAAATGCTGCGTGATTGGTGGATTTTGACATCTGTCAATGTCATGTCAAAAATAACCAGTCATGCAGCATTTGGACCTCGCGTCTACGTATTGCCATCTGGCGGATTTTTCAATCGCGAAAATCATTGCAACAACTTTAATGTAAGTAATAAAAAAATCCTAAATAAAAATAATCTAAAATTCAGGTTAGACCAGCAAATATGGGGTGACGAGGAAGACCTTGAGGACGACCAAAGCAAGAAAGAGTCAGAGGAGAAAGGTACCGGCGAGAGTACTGGCGAGAAAGAGATGGGTGCTAAGGATGAGGAGCAAGGCACTGACGATGGGAAAGAAGGAAAGGATAAAAAGAAAAAGAGAGACATTAATGAAATGGACGAACCGGAGGTCGATGATGACCATGTAAGTAGTTATTTAAAATTGTTTTATTTTCTGTGTTGCATAAAGTCTTTAATGGAGTGTTTAACACACACGTTCTATGTATTTGTTACATAGCCTGACCAGGAACATAAAAACCCTCGCCATGTTGCGGAAAACTAATGGTACTAATTTCTTTTAATGGCAACAGTAACTGAAAACTTCATTAACATGTCACCTTGCATGTCAGTCTATTGCTGTCAAAGTGTAAACAAACTTTATTTTATATATGCGCAATTGATTTTGTGAATTAAATTGCTTAAATCTTTTTATAGTCGTGTAAGAAAAGTGGTTCACAATGTGTTAAAGTATTTGTCGAAGAGAAATACTAAGGGTTCGGACAATATTTTCATTGAATAATGTTTCCGACAAAGGTTGTCAAATCGACTGACATGTTTGTCGTATAGTACAGTCTACTATGAAAATTAGCTGTGGTTTGTTTCAACCACCTATTTTAAAGTTTTTTGTCACTTTGTATGTGTTGAATTTTATGGAATTGGGAAAGAAGTAGTCAAAGTCAAAGTCAAAATTTCTTTATTTGTTTGGACTAATAANTATATCTAATAACTATTAATAAAGGATTAAGTGGTAAATGTTATCAAGTTTTAACCATCATTTAATATTTTTTTTGCAAATTTAAAAAACTTAGACATTTTTCAGTGTTAATTGACTGGCATCACATATAGGCTCCTTGATTACAGTCGATTATTAATAAATGAAAGTAATATTTTTTTCCTTGCTAATTAATAACCATGTAACATAAAAACATGAACAAAATTTCTGAAGGACATAAATTAAAAATTTTGACAAGGGTTAAAGTTACTAAAATTATACACAGTGGCCTAGAACACTAAAAACAAATTATCTCTACAGGCATGTGTTATCTTTCTTTGAGAGCTTTGATAGACAAAATGTATACCATTCAGAATCGGAATCTGCAGCAATGGTGAATTCTAAGACATCTAAACTCAAAAGAATAATCGTCTACAAGTAATACCTTACTCCTAAAATGTTCATTAGATAGTTGGGCTAATAATATAGCTGATGTACTCAGATACTTTCTGCCATTAAGTATTCTTAAACTAGAGCAATTTACTTAAGACTATAATAATATAATATAAAAAAATTATAGTTGACAAGTCACATCCATACAAGTATGTTTGTATGGAAATTATAGTCATCGGGTCTCCCAGGCCCTGACAAAATTTTGGATGGTTATTACTCACGTAATAAGTGCCGGAAAACGCGATTTTATGCCTCCTCGGTCCAAACACAGTTAAAACTGAAGCTACTGAGATGGTCGAGAGCAGCACGTGGCGGGAAGGTGTTTAAACCGAGAAATCGGAAAGGGGGGTGGGCCTCTGAGACCCGACGTCCATAGTTAAAGGTTAAGATCATTGACAATCCATTATCACCATTAGTTTTTTTTTAATCGAATTCGAACTTGATTTTTTTATCGTGGTTTGTACTTTTGTTGAACTTTGGCGGCTCGTAACTAGTTATTCAATCATTATCTGGATCTCAAATTTATTTTATTTGAAGAAAGGTTTATTCGATATTAGTATCAAATAAAAAAATCGGTTAAAATCATGCGAGAAAAAAAAATTAAGCAGTTTTTAGGTCAAATTTCGGAAAAATCTGAATAGAGTATAAAAATTGACATAAATCTCCTAAACTATAAAACTTTAGTCATAGAAAGTAAGGTTCAATAAATTAGCAAATGACCTCCTCTATACGCATATTGGCTATGGCGGGTTCAGTTCCAGTCACCCTGTATAGTAACGCAGTCATTAATTTGTAAGGCGTTGAAGTCTTTCTTTGTGTAGTTTCTAGTGTATAACACTCAGGGTTCGGGTCGCATGTATTAAAAATATCATAGGTTCTGGTAGAATGTGATAGTACACTTAACGGCAAATCAAACACTTGCATTTGCACTGAAAACTCGCTTTTATTTCGTGGGGAATATTAGTGGGTTTACAATAGGCATGTTTGATGTGTTGCTGTGTACACAGATTTGTTCTTTGTTATTTTGTTTTTGTATGTCCTAGCTAGACTGAAGTTAGAGTATCGATGAATCATTTACAGACATTTTTATAGTTAATTTTTACTGATTACATCATGAATCATCTTTTATGTTTTTGGGATAACAACAGCAAATATACATAGTTTAAATAATACAAAAAAAGTTTATAGAATCGTAGTCTTTGCATAGTTAGAAAACTTACTTCATTAGAACATAATTTTTCAAATTATTCTTAGAATATAATTTCTAACCCCATATAGTAGACTAATTTTAACCCTATATTTTATCCTTCAGAAATACCTCGACCAAGCAGAACAGTTAACGGCCTGGATCGCCGAAGGATCGCTGCTGTCCAAAATACCGAGCCTAGTCAACAAAGCGAAGACGCTGTGTAAAGACACCATCACTAATTCACGGTACCCAGCGTTGGTTCAAGGATTGGACGACTTCGTGACCGCTGTGATCGAAACGAGCACTCATCTTGGCTCTTTGGAGGTATGTAGCTATACTAAAGTATAGGTCGTGCAGTGATTACCTACATATGGCTCCGAAACGTGGCCTCTCACTATAGGCCTCATAAAGAAGCTCAAAGTTGCACAGCGTGCTATGGAAAATTGGAAAGTGCTATGCTCGGTGTTTCTTTACGAGATCGAGTCAGAAATGAGGAGATCCGTAAACGAACTAAAGTTGTGAAAGATGTGGAAATCGTTGGGGGAGGCCTATGTTCAGCAGTGGCTGAAATGATGATGCTGTGCAGTAGAATATAGGTACCCTACCCACGCGCTAATTAGAATTGATAATTTTAGCCCCATATATTAATTAATTAATTTTAAAAAATCTTAGATATCTTAAAACTAACCTTTGTCTTCAATTTAAGGCTGACGCTTCCTTACCAAAGGACAAACAAATGTCCCAAGCCAAGAACATCGTTCAGCAAAAGCGCAAAGCCCTAGCTGATCTCTTCAAGTACCTCATGAAGATGGGACTCAACTACCGCTCGGGACTGCTCCTGTTGTCTATGACTGAGAACGAGATATATGACTTCACTATTCCACCTGTGGACGTCGACGCGTTGATGGGCTATTTGAAGAACAGGTGAGTGTGTTAAATACAAGTAAATATCAGTATTAAGAGGTAGAGATGGGTTATACTAGGTAAATTTGATACTAGGTGCACCTATTCCTAGTATTTATTAATACTCGATCCAAATACCTATTCCACCTAGTACGTAGTAATTTAGCATACTTGACGCGACTAGTCCGGACTAATCCACGTAATATGACTTTAAAATACAATTTTCTTTGAAAAGATACAACCGTAGTATGAATAATGCAATTTGAAATTGAATAATAATTCCTCCCTTCATACTTCAACAGGCTTAGGACTGTCAACTTAAAAGTTGGCGTATTTAAAAGATATCAATTTCATAAAAATATTTACATATTTTTTCTTATTTACATGAATATGGTTTGACTACGTTTGTGTGCGTTTGCTTCGTCGCGCTCAAATTTGTTTGGTCAGACAGAGACGGAGTGAATCTCTACGTTCGCACATAAGCTTAGCGAGAAATACTAGGTGCGCGTAATACACGACTACGGATTACGCAATAATAACCTCTATTACTTTGATGGTAGGGTCGGAAATCGTGTAATTTATAAAATACTAGGTGGATCAAGTATTATCTGCAGAAAATGGCGGAGGAAATACATGATTTAGCATGAATTATCATGAATAATATTAACTACTTATTTACCTCTCAGTGTCTTCAGGCAACTTAAAAAAGTACATTCTGTGTTTTTATTATTATTTAGGCAGTTAAATACTGCACAGTATTTAGTACACCATTTTCTTTATTTTCTTCCATCATACACAAGAATACGCGTGCGTGAGTCAATGTTCGCTCGTATGTGAGGCCTTGTCGAATAGTACTCTTGTAGGGGGCAATCGTGCGTGTTTTGTTTTCGATGTAAACTCGCGGAGATGAACAGGCCTGGTAATGCTTACAAACCTCACAAAATTTAGATTTATCACTTAATTGAATCAGTGCTTGAGTTAAGGGAGTGATACAGGAGGGTGTTTTGTTGACTCTTTATTTACTGTTTGCGACCTGTCTTAATATGTCAATGTCACCCCTCCCGTGTCGTTCCATACCTCAGGCACTAGACTTAGGCTGAGTTGCACCACCTAACTTTAACGGTAACTATTACGATAACCGGTGATTTTTGTATGGAGTATGACAGATTTTTGACGCTTGTTAAAGTAAGATGGTGCAAGTCTGTCTTTCTTCAATGGTGTCAGTCTTATTTAAGTTAATACCGTATGATTTATAAAAAATAAAGCACTAAATCCAATATTCACTATTGCAGCATCTAACAATTACACAAAAGAAATCAATATCAAAATACTCGCAATATCTGTACGATTTGCGCACTGTCACGACAAATATAGAGAACATTCTAGAAATTGACGCCACTGATGTCAACATTACAACAATGGAAGAGAAAATAACCATTCTCACTGAATGCTACGCGAACTGTAGCATATTACTTGACCAGTTCAGCGTTCTACTAAAGTCTTGTCCAGAAAAAACATACACGGAAACTGAATTTGATTTGGTACTGTCAGATTCGCCAATCGTACGTTGCTTCAAAAACAGTGACGAATGGAACGAACTGTACAAACAAGTGAAAGCTATCATCGCTACGGTGACAAAAGAAAAAGCGAACCTCCTCAAATTACAACCTGTTCCTAAGAAGTTCGCAAACAATAAAGAAAAATCCATTCCTACTATATCTCAGGCGCACATTGATATTACAAAAGAGGCCAGAAATGCACTGGAACGTATGATAAGCCAGATAGATGATATACTGAAGAAATATAACTTCACATTGAAACATAAATCCGCTTTCAATTTGGCCGAATCGCCTCAGCATCCAATCCTTACGAGCTTGATTGAATTGACTGACTATTTGACAGGAACCATCAAAAAGATTGACGATTTAAACCAGCCCAATAAAGATTCAAACACAGAGGACTTGACTGACAAATTGATAAGCAACACTAAAGATGTAGTCGCGAATTTGCTGTTAATCATCCAATCGGTCTACAAGAAGCATTTGCCTAAAGGCAAGGAAAGCAACGAGCTTCTGAATGAAATAGATGACAGTGAAAAAGAAGTTGAAAGGGAAGATTCTAAGGAATTGCTGGAAGNTTAGTAACACTAAAGATGTAGTCGCGAATTTGCTGTTAATCATCCAATCGGTCTACAAGAAGCATTTGCCTAAAGGCAAGGAAAGCAACGAGCTTCTGAATGAAATAGATGACAGTGAAAAAGAGGTTGAAAGAGAAGATTCTAAGGAATTGCTGGAAGACAATCATTTAAGAGAGCTTCTTCATGAACAAATAATGAATGACGGGAAGCTGTTACAGTTGAGGGTTTTGATTGAAAAATGTAAAGGTTTACTACGTGATTACGTGGAGTATGTAGCGTCAACAAATGACGTGGAGAAGGGAAGAGATACGGTCATGAGAATGGTGCCAATATTGGAACAGGCGGTTCTGTTCGTGCAGTATTTCGTGACGCAGAAAGTGGCAGTTCATAGGGTGTCGTGCAAGATGCTGTCTGTCTTGCTGAAGATATTCTCGGACTTGGCTACCAAAGGGTAAGTGTAGTTTTCAAACTGTCTAAAATTATTTTTGAGTTATTCTTCTTTAAATTCTGTTTCAACGTGTATGGTTTGTTTAATTTAATTAAGAAAAGTCAAATTACGAGCAGAGCTTAACTACAGGATGTGGTTTTGTAAAACAACGCCCATTTCAGGGGTGGTAGTATACACGACACTGTATGTAAATGTATAGTACATACGGATACACAATAACATTTTCCAGTAACAGCATGTTGTGTTGTAGTAATATAAAAAAAAATCTCTACGTGAACAACCAACCACATGACGTAAATCAGTTTGTATTTTTTCTCCTTAAAATCAAAATAATATAATGAAAAGATAATCTTATAAGCAGGTTTATTATTTTTATAGTGTAAGGGTTTAGATTGTTTCATCCACGAAGACGCGCCTCACCAATTTTTCTTTGAGGGAAGCGCGGGGAACGGGGAGTTTGATCCGAGCAATCCGAACGTCATTATTGTAGTGTGCGTGTGCACTCATGGATAAATTTAGCGTGTACCGATAACATTCAAACATTAGCGGAAGAATGATGGGGCGCGTCTTCGTGGATGAAACGATCTATGCCTGCTTTAAAATAAGTAAAGTCATTTATAAAATTATTTACTAATATGTGTAACACACATTGTGTATTGTAGATTCTGCAAGCCTTCAGACATGGAAGAGGAAGGGGAAGGTGAAGGCGGACCAGGAAAGTTATCAGGAGGCACAGGCCTCGGGGACGGCGAGGGACAGAAGGACGTCTCGGACCGGATCGAGAACCAGGTAAGACTTAACTGCAGTACAGAGCGGTTACATCAAGCGATTATAAAACTTGACTGCTTGGTATAGTTCTTGCAACTCACGAAGGCTAGTGAGCTTTAGGTACTTGTGTGTGTACGTGTACATGCACATAACGATAGTGTAATGTCTATAGTCTGGTCTGTGAGCATGTAGAATTTTGTCCAATGACCCCTAGCTACCCATCCTTATTGCTCGCGCGTAATTATGTTGCTATTGCGCTCGCACACTCACTGCGGGTGCCAGTCGCACAGTCGCGACAGCAATATAATTACGCGCGAACGATAAGGATGGGTAGCTAGGGGTCATTGGACAAAATTCTACGTGTTCACAGACCCGGCTTTACCAAAATTTTTGAAAAACGAATAGTAGCGAGCCACCACACATGTAAAACTCACTCGCCTTCGTGAATTGCAACAACTATACATGGTTCATATTTCATCGACCCATTTCGACCCTTTATTTATTTATTTATTTATTTATTTATTTATTTATTTAATGAGCAACATAATAAGCTTACAGAAAACCCAAAGCGCTTACATGTTTAGTCACCACATCGAATACAATAAAATTATATATAGTCAAAAAATTACACAAATTATTAGATTAAATTAAAATTAAATTCTGTTTAAACAGAATTAATTAATTAACAAATTCTAGATAATAAACAAATCGAGATAAAATTAATATAGATACAGTAGAACAGAAAAATTATGGATTATAATGTCACATGTCAAAAAAAAAATCATTATATCAAGCAGGTCATCATTATCATTAACAATGAGTGTCATTGAGTGATATACAAAAACGTTTAAAAATAAATCCAATATGGTCGTCAAAAATGTCAATATCCTCGTGCTGAGCGAGCAAGTCACCAATGAACTGCAGGGCACGGGCAGTGGGCGCGTTAGCCCCACGTTGTGTACGGACGAGCGGGCGCGCGAGCAGCCGCGGCCGCCTGCGCGGCGCAACCAGCCCGCCATGATCTCGGGGGATATTTGCAGGGACTAGGAGACCCACCCTTTCTAAAACCGCCGGGCAATCGATGGCATTACGCATGATAGCAATGTAATGCTTAAGCAGAAGCATCAGCAAGCATCTTTAAAACCCTCGTTGAAATATAGACCGTAAAAGTTACCGTATAATAAAATCGATCGTTATTGACTTGATTCTACTTGGTGATTATGTTGGTGCATCTCATTTTCATGTGATTAGATTATATCATCATAAATATTTACAGGACCAATTAGAAGATGCTCATCGCCCTGGCGAAGAAAAGAAAGACGAAGAAAAAGATTGCAAAGAAGAAGAGAAAGGTATCAACATGACTGACGATTTCGATTCGCATCTTCAAGACGTTGACAAGAAAGGTAAAGACCAATAAATTTTACAGATGTCACAAATTATGCTTTCCTTAGTTTAATTAAATGCTCAAAAATGTTTTCCCTTTTTGTAGAAGGTGAAGACTCGAATGATGAAGATGATGACGAAGACGACCCTGACAAGCAAATGGGTGAAACTGACAATGCAGCTGAAAAGTAAGGACAAAATACTTGTTTTAACATAATATTAACTTTAAAGTATAGTTCTTGCAACGCACGAAGGCGAATGAGCTTTACTTGTGTGTGTAAGTATACTTGCACATAACGATAGTGTAATGTCTACCAAAATAAAATAAAAAGAACAGTAGCGAGCCACCACACATGTAAAGCTCACTCGCCTTCGTGAATTGCAGCAACTTTAATGTAAGTAATAATGGTTTGTTCTAAGTCCGTCTGGCTAGCTACCACCATCTTATCTAAGTCTGTCGCCATAACGACAATGTTAACAGCATTGTTGTGTTCCGACAGTTAGAGGTAAGATAGCCAGTTCCTCCGTGGTTGAGGATTCCGGGTGAAGCTCGCTTCCACCTTCGGCCTGATCGTCACTTACCATCAGGTGAGACAGGCCAAGAGCTTCCTCGTTGTGGATAAAAAAAAACTTAAATAAAAATAATCTAATGTTTCAGGTTAGATCAGCAAATATGGGGTGACGAAGAAGATCTTGAGGACGACCAAAGCAAGAAAGAGTCAGAAGAAAAAGGTACCGGCGAGAGTACTGGCGAGAAAGAGATGGGTGCTAAGGATGAAGAGCAAGGCACTGACGATGGGAAAGAAGGAAAGGATAAAAAGAAAAAGAGAGACATCAATGAAATGGACGAACCGGAGGTCGATGATGACCATGTAAGTAGTTATTTATCGGCCGTTTGGTGTAGTGGTTCAGAACGGACTACTATGCCGAGAGGTCCCGGGTTCGATTCCCGGCCGGGCAGAAATTGAAATGATGAATTTTAATTTCTGTGACGGGTCTGGGTGTTGCTATGTATAATATGTACGTATTTAAAAAAAAAAGTATATAAGTAGTATATCCGTTAAGCTAGCACCCATAACACAAGCATATTAATTGCTTACTTTGGGGCTAGATGGCGCTGTGTGAGATTGTCCAAAGATATTTTATATATACAACGTGTCCCAAAATTCAAGGATAAGCCGGCGCTGCAGGATGGACATAGTCATGACTACTTTAGGAAAAATAAGGAAAAAAATCTATCTCAATTATTTTTTAACTTACACAATAAATTATGAAATTCGACGGAAATTGACACCCCTTATGATATTTTACATTACCACGACCACAATTTTTCAAATATTCCTGTTTTTCTGTTTATATCGGCAACTTAAGTAGTGCTGCTGTTCACCCCAACCCTTAATACCCCCAGAATCCTTGCAGTTTTTACACAAAAGTTAACCAAAATATGTTATTTCCTTAAAATTTTGAACGATTTTTACTTTCACTCCACTTTGACTCATCGTTTTGTAAAAAAAAAGTATGAACACTACTGCGGCAAGTTTTTTATAAAGTTGACGCAACTATCCAAGATTCCAAAATGGTATAATACTCTAAGAAACCTAGTCGCAAAAAAGATATGCGTACCATTTTTACAAACACTTCGCTTGTTAGTTAGAACGGGATAAATCTGGCAACTGAATTTATAACCAGTTCTCCTTAACCAATTGAGCTGAAATTTGGTATACTTGTGTAAGTACGATGACAATGCAATATTATGGTACCATTGAGCTGGATGGAGTCTGGAGGTGGCCATAGGAACTCTTAACGAAACGGCGGAATTGCATCTAGTTTGGGTTCGTTGGACTTGTTTTTTCGAGCACTTTAGTGCTAGATGATGTCCAGGGTCCTGATGATGAAGTCAAGGGGTGGCAGGAGCTGGCCATAGGAACTCCTAAAGAAGGAACGGAAGGAACGGCGGAAGCTTATCGAGTTTGGGTCCGTTGGATTTGTCTTCCCGAGCACGTAGGCCATGAGATTGAGAAACAACTAAAAAGTTTAAAATAAAGTTGTAATAAAAAAAAACTTTTTTAAAAACAAGCTTGACTTCATTTGAAAATTATAATTGACTTCATCATCAGGACCCTGGACATCATCTAGCACTAAAGTGCTCGAAAAGACAAGTCCAACGAACCCAAACTAGATGCAATTCCGCCGTTTCGTTTAGAAGTTCCTACGGCCACCTCCAGTCTCCATCCAGCTCAATGGTACCATAATATTGCATTGTCATCGTACTTACACAAGTAAACCAAATTTCAGCTCAATTGGTTGAGGAGAACTGGTTTTAAATTCAGTTGCAACATTTATCCCATACTAACTAACAAGCGAAGTGCTTGTAAAAATGGTATGCATATCTTTTTTGCGACTAGGTTTCTTAGAGTATTATACCATTTTGGAATCTTGGATAGTTGCGTCAACTTTATAAAAAACTTGCCGCAATAGTGTTCATACTTTTTTTTTACAAAACGATGAGTCAAAGTGGAGTGAAAGTAAAAATCGTTCAAAATTTTAAGGAAATAACATATTTTGATTAACTTTTGTGTAAAAACTGCAAGGATTCTGGAGGTTTTAAGAGTTGGGGTGGACAGCAACACTACTTAAGTTGCCGATACAAACAAAAAAACAGAAATATTTGAAAAATGGCGGTCGTGGTAATGTAAAATATCATAAGGGGTGTCAATTTTAGAAGAATTTCGTAATTTATTGTGTAACTTAAAAAATAATTGAGATAGATTTTTTTCCTTATTTTTCCTAAAGTAGTCATGACTATGTCCATCCTGCGGCGCCGGCTTATCCTTGAATTTTGGGACACGTTGTATTTTTTTTATTTTTTTTTTATTTAATTTTTTTTATAAAGTCAATGGAGTGTTTAACACACACGTTCTATGTATTTGTTACATAGATTTTGTCGTAATAATTAAATTAGAATTATAATAAAAAAGTAACTATATTTTACGCGATCTAAACAATGTTTCTCTGTTCCAAATCGAAATGAGTTTTTCTTCACTTTAAACTGCACAGTTTCTCAGATTCTATTCTTCTACGTTTTTATGTGAGTTAGGTCATTTTGTTTTAGGGCTTATTTTCCAATTATCTAATAACTTTTATCTGAAAAATAAAATTAGCACATTGACAGTTTCAGTATGGGAAATATGTCAAAATTACAAATTTATTCCTCAGTTAAAAGATATCGCTGACTATTGAATCAGCCCTTGTAATCTATTGCAATTTGTTTATCAGGTGGATCCATACCACGGCAATCAACAGCAGATGCCTGAACCGGAGGACTTTGAAATGCCCGACAACTTGAATTTGGACGGCGAAGAAGGGGAAGATAAGGTATGGCTTATAATGACACTGTGACATCTTATGTAGTTATAATACGGGTGAATTTGCAACAAAAAGTATAGTCTGATGTGTTGTCTATTGTACACACGACCACACTGTTAACTATCCATTTCCGTTTTTGCTCTCGCTCTCATCAAATGGTGATACTTTGCGATAGAACGAGACGACATGACAGGCAATGGTTAGTTAACACTGTTGCCTATGGTACATTGCGAGCGATTGAGAGAGATAGATGTTGCGTCTTCAAAGGCTGTAAACAACAAACTTACAATCACTTATTTACATATGACTGATAAAACTTAATTATTTACCTTCGAATTTTGTTTACATGAATCGATATTTCTTTATTAGCTTGTATTGTGATGATTCGATAGAACAAGCGTTCGTTTTCTTCTAATATTAACAAACATTTTGCTTTTACAGGAAGGTGAAACAGAAACCGAAAATCCGTTTGAAGTGGACGTAACCAAAGACGACATCCCCAAGGATCAGGAGGAATCTACTCAAGATGACAAATCTCAAGACGAGGGCAAAGGAGAGGAGCATGGAACCGAGGTGTCAAGCGACAGCGAGGGTGAAGAAAACGGTGATGGTGATAGCCAAGATAAGGTAAAGTACTAAGCAATAAATTTTATTTCAGACTTTTCCTATAAAAATAGATTCATACCACAAGTAAATTATTTCCACTATCAACAGATTCCATGGTGAGGGAGTTATGCGATTCAATAATAATGCAATGCATATTTGCAATTTTTTTACATTCCTTGTCGACTTTTATGACCAAATTATTTTTTCAATTTATACATGCCACACTATTACTACTCACTTCTATACTACTTCAATTGAAAATAATACAGTGTTAGGTATAGAATTGTATTCTTCGATTGCTGGTTCATATCCGGCTCGAAGGACCATTTCCTTATTAACAATATAACTCCACAGTCGCAAAACAACGAAGACGACACGACGCAAACAGAGGCCGACACAGAAACAACGCAAGATGACGGTCAAGATGGCGGCGATGAAGACACCTCGCAGCCCGAAGACTCCGATATGACGCAGCCCGAGGACTCCGATATGACGGAGCCCGATAGTGCTGAGCAGGATCTGCCCAGGAATCCGGATAAGATGGACGAGGATGAACAGGAAGATTCCGAGCAGAAAAGTCGAGAGGATAATGTAAGTGCATTTACTTAGCTATTTTATTTTTCCGGCTGAGAATTGAAAATTAGTCCCACATTGTCAGTACCGAACACTAATAATAATAAATCATTTATTTGAAAATATTTTTAAAAATCCAAAGGTTTTATTTTGAGTAATAATATTAAAGTAATATGATTGATGATGAATTTCATGCAAATGTCATTTAATGATGAATGGACCGTTGGGATATTGTGGTTAATCCATTCCTAACTCAACCATGAAAATATGCACTTTCTTCTCAGCACTTGCAATATGTTTCTCTCGAAACTGGTGGGGCTCAAAGGATAAAGGGAAATGCCATCCGGCATTAAGTCCGCCACAGTGCATTGTTTCTATGTGTGCTAAAGTTTAAATTAATAAATAAATATGTACAGAGCCCCTTATGAGCTACTTTTAACAATTTTATTTCATTGCAGAATCCTCAAGCAAACCCGTCCAATGACGACCAGTCGGCGGAAGATAAGGCAGAGAATGCCCAGATGGATAGAGGCACGGACGATAATGTTGAAACTAACGCGGATCAGAAGAAGGATGAAGAGTCTGCGCCTTTTGTAAGTTATTTTGTTATTGAGAACTTTACTAGTTCCCTTCTTTATAAGTATTGTGTAGAATATCTGTATGTCGGTTTCTTCTTAAACTTGGCAATAGGTTTCTGCTGGTTAAACTGTGACCTGTCATTTATATGAAAATGCAAGAAGTAGAAGTAGAGCGGTTAACAACTAAGGGTAAGGGGGATTAGGAAACCAGGTAAAATGTTGACCAGTTTTCGAGTCCACATGTAATACATACGTACCTACTTGAACTCCCCCTGATCCTAAATAACACACTGATCCCGACAAGGTTAAATAACTTAATAAGAGTCTTCTGGACTTCTTTATAATAGACTAGCTGACCCGGCGAACTTTGTTCCGCCTTAATGGCAATAAATAAGCAGACTTTTTTTTAAATTTCGAACGGGATAAAAAGTATCCTATGTCCTTCTCCTGGCTCTAAACTACCTCCCTGACAATTTTCAGCTAAATCGGTTCAGCCGTTCTTGAGTTATAAGTGGTGTAACTAACACGACTTTCTTTTATATATGTATATAGATTCTACTTTTAAACACCAATATCTCTGATGATCATCTCAGTCATCTCACCCATCTTGAACTCGTTAAATATCAAGTTGAGAGAGATGACTGTTCTATTATTTTAATATTATCCTATGTTTATAAAGGAACAAGCCCAAGAGCAAGTGGGTGAAGACAAACAGTCCATGGGCCGATCGGAGCTCGACCAAAGCGACAGGGGACACCGCGGCGAGAAGCAAGCGGCGAGCCGGGCCGACCGCGCGCAGCAGAAGCGGGACAAACACGACAACAAGCCCGGGAAGACTGACCAGGAACGCACGCTGGGTAAGTAAAACTAGGTTATATTAGGCAGATGATAATAGCGCAGCAGAAGCGGGACAAACACGACAGCAAGCCGGGGAAGACTGATCAGGAACGCACGCTGGGTAAGTAAAACTAGGTTATATTAGGCAGNCCATTTTTTTTCATTGCAGAATCCTCAAGCAAACCCGTCCAATGACGACCAGTCGGCGGAAGATAAGGCAGAGAACGCCCAGATGGATAGAGGCACGGATGATAATGTGGAAACTAACGCGGATCAGAAAAAGGATGAAGAGTCTGCGCCTTTTGTAAGTTATTTTGTTATTGAGAACTTTACTAGTTCCCGTCTTTATAAGTATTATGTAGAATATCTGTATGTCGGTATCTTCATAAACTTGGCAATAGGTTTCTGCTGGTTAAACTGCAATGTGACCTGTCATTTATATGGAAATGCAAGAAGTAGAAGTAGAGCGGTTAACAACTAAGGGTTGGGGGATTAGAAAATCAGGTAAAATGTTGACCAGTTTTCGAGTCCATATGTAATACATACGTACGTACTTGAACTCCCCCTGATCCTAAATAATACACTGATCCCGACAAGGTCAGCGATCAATGCATTTAAGTCTGGTCGCCATCGCTGCACGCCGGCTGATCGCGTATGATCGCGTTGGTTTGGCCGAACCTTTAATAAGGGTCTTCTGGACTTCTTTATAATAGATTCTAATTTTTACATTAACACCAATATCTCAGTTATTTCACCCATCTTTAACTCCTTAAATATCAAGTTAAGATATGTGAGATGACTGTTCTATTATTTTAATATTATCCTATGTTTATAAAGGAACAAGCCCAAGAGCAAGTGGGTGAAGACAAACAGTCCATGGGCCGCTCGGAGCTCGACCAAAGCGACAGGGGACACCGTGGCGAGAAGCAAGCGGCGAGCCGCGCCGACCGCGCGCAGCAGAAGCGGGACAAACACGACAACAAGCCGGGGAAGACTGACCAGGAACGCACGCTGGGTAAGTAAAACTAGTTAAATAATATTAGGCAGATGATACCAGCGCAGCAGAAGCGGGACAAACACGACAACAAGCCGGGGAAGACTGACCAGGAACGCACGCTGGGTAAGTAAAACTAGTTAAATAATATTAGGCAGATGATAATAGCGCAGCAGAAGCGGGACAAACACGACAACAAGCCGGGGAAGACTGACCAGGAACGCACGCTGGGTAAATATAACTTGTAGATAACATTAGGCAGATGATATCATAAGGGAACAACCTCAAAAGGAAGTGGGTAAGGATAAATAGTCCATGGGCCGCTCGGAGCTGGACCAAAGCGACAGGGCACACCGCGGCGAGAAGCAAGCGGCGAGGCGCGCCGACCGCGCGCAGCAGAAGCGGGACAAACACGACAACAAGCCGGGGAAGACTGACCAGGAACGCACGCTGGGTAAATATAACTAGTAGATAACATTAGGCAGATGATATCATAAGGGAACAACCTCAAAAGGAAGTGGGTAAGGATAAATAGTCCATGGGCCGCTCGGAGCTGGACCAAAGCGACAGGGCACACCGCGGCGAGAAGCAAGCGGCGAGGCGCGCCGACCGCGCGCAGCAGAAGCGGGACAAACACGACAACAAGCCGGGGAAGACTGACCAGGAACGCACGCTGGGTAAATATAACTTGTAGATAACATTAGGCAGATGATATCATAAGGGAACAACCTCAAAAGGAAGTGGGTAAGGATAAATAGTCCATGGGCCGCTCGGAGCTGGACCAAAGCGACAGGGCACACCGCGGCGAGAAGCAAGCGGCGAGGCGCGCCGACCGCGCGCAGCAGAAGCGGGACAAACACGACAACAAGCCGGGGAAGACTGACCAGGAACGCACGCTGGGTAAATATAACACGTAGATAATATTGGGCAATAAAAGGAACAAGCCCAAGAGCAAGTGGGTGAAGACAAACAGTCCATGGGCCGCTCGGAGCTCGACCAAAGTGGCACAGGACAACGCGGCGAGAAGCAAGCGGCGAGCCGCACCGACCGCGCGCAGAAGAAGCGGGACAAACACGACAACAAGCCGGGGAAGACTGACCAGGAACGCACGCTGGGTAAATACAACACGTAGATAATATTGGGCAATAATTCCGTAAGGGAACAAGCTCGAAAGGAAGTGGGTAAGAACAAACAGTCCATGGGTTGCTCGGAGCTCGACCAAAGCGACAGGGGACACCGCGGCGAGAAGCAAGCGGCGAGCCGCGCCGACCGCGCGCAGCAGAAGCGGGACAAACACGACAACAAGCCGGGGAAGACTGACCAGGAACGCACGCTGGGTAAATATAACATGTAGAATAATATTGAGCAATAATTCCGTAAGGGAACAAGCTCAAAAGGAAGTGGGTAAGGATAAAATGTCCATGGGCCGCTCGGAGCTGGACCAAAGCGACAGGGGACACCGCGGCGAGAAGCAAGCGGCGAGCCGCGCCGACCGCGCGCAGCAGAAGCGGGACAAACACGACAACAAGCCCGGGAAGACTGACCAGGAACGCACGCTGGGTAAATATAACAAGTAGATAGTATTGGGTAGATGATATCGTAAAGGAATAATTCTAAGAGCTTTAAGTGGGTGGCATGGGCCGCTCGGAGCTCGAAGCGCAGCGAGTAAATAAGTAAGCACGTCAGAATGGCACGTGGGTGTGGCTAGCGGCCATTTGAGCTCTGGTTAATTTAGTCGGATGGAGCGTTTCACTGAAGACCATCGTGAATTAGGTAGCATAGCCCTAGAGTTTTCTTTTCTCTATTACAAAAAAGTTACCGACAGTAACCGACATAGCTCGCAGAATTGCTAAAATCAAGTGGCAGTGGGCGGGGCACATAGCTCGTAGAGACGATGGCCGTTGGGGCAGGAAAGTTCTCGAGTGGCGACCACGGACTGGAAGACGTAGCGTGGGCAGGCCTCCTACTAGGTGGACCGACGATCTGGTAAAGGTCGCGGGAAGAGCCTGGATGCGGGCAGCGCAGGACCGTTCATTGTGGAAAACCTTGGGGGAGGCCTTTGTCCAGCTGTGGACGTCATTTGGCTGAAACGAACGAACGAACGATTACAAAAAAGTTAGTTGACGTCACCAATCAATTGGATTCCTTTAAGAGTGTTTCTTTTAACTACCTTCAAAAAAGGAGGAGATTCTCAATTCGTCTGTATTTTTTTTTACCACAATATCATATTAATCATAATCTTTGCTTCGCTCAGGTGACGTAAACGAAAAGAAACACAAACAGAAGACGCTCAACGTAGAGCGAGACGAAGAGATGGAGGATGGCGGTGAGGGCCAAGAGGACGACGATAAGGACGCGGACGCGTACCAACACGTCAAACAGGCGAAGAAGGACGATTTACAGGTGAGGATGCTAGTAAAATGCTTAGAGAATCGATTAATATTGTAGAAAAAAAAAAAGTATTTAAGTATGTTTATATCCGTTGTCTAGTACCCATAGTACAAGCTTTGCTTAGTTTGGGATTAGAAGCGCAGTGTAAAATGTCCAAGGATATTTTTTTTTTTTTTAAATAGGTTACTTTAGCGCTAGAGGGCAACTTTAGCTCAAAACAAAATTTCGTCAAAGGCGAAGGACGATTTACAGGTGAGGATGCTAGTAAAAAGATGCTTAGAGAACCGAACAAGACTGTAGATGCGGGTTACTTTAGCTCTAGAGGGCAACTTTAGCCCATAACAAAATTTCGTCAAACAGGCGAAGAAGGACGATTTACAGGTGACGATTGTTAGATAAAGGCTTTTACAGTTGATTTGATCCTCGTTATGTTTAAAGTGATTGCAATCAGTAAAAAATACATTGAATTTCTTAAATATAGACGTTTGTTTGCTTTGATAGTTGACCTCTTTAATCCTTCAAGGCCCGCGAATCTAGACACCATAGATAATCAATTGTTATGACATTAATGAATGCCGTCTGGGACTCAAGCGGTTAACAAACGAAATAGCTCCCAAACAACTGACGCGTGCAGAAAGCATACATAGGATTATGCGTACACAGACTGTACATTTAACAAGTAATAATTCGCTGCCTGCTGCTGTATTTCCTGAACACTATAATCCGGGCGTTTTCAACGCGAGAATGAATAGGCACTTACAGGGCAGATATGTACCATCCTAGACTGCATCTCACTTAACACCAGGTGCGATTGCTGTCAAATACCTGCCTTGTCTAGCATAAAAAAAAACCTCAATAAATATAGAAAAAACCGTGGCTGCCGACAGTGCTTACAGAAGTTACTTTTCTTAAACATTATCACTAGAGTCAACTCTATGGTTTACAGGTCATAGATGCGGCGACCAAAGAGCAAGCAGATCAACAGCCGACTCTGCAGGAAGACGAGGAAACGGAAGAAACGACCGCCGACGACGAAATCCCTATGGATGTAGATGAAGAAGATTTACAGGTATATTTAAGTTTTAGTCGACCGTAAATAAAAAGTAAAACATAAAATTTTACCTGTCATCATGATCAACATTCCCGCCCCAAGACGTCCACTGCGAAACATAGGCCTCCCCTAATGATTTCCACATAGGAACGATTGGTAGGAAGTAGACCTCATAAAGGTAGCAGGAAGGCGCTGGATGCAGACCGGGTGAATTGAAAAATCTACCTGTAAAATATTCCAAATTTTAATTGTAACTTCACTTTTCAACTCAAAACTTTTTTCCCATTTAAATTTAATTAGTTCGCATTTTACCCTTTCGATTATTGGAATTTTGGGTTCAAGGTCAAGATTCTCAGCCATCAAAGTAAAAGCACGCAAAAGATAAAATTAAACAGCTCTTTTGAAACTGTTATACTATTTGAAAATCTTTCCCCACAGGTTGAGAAGGGTGAAGAATTGAAGCCCGAGAAAGTGAAAGAAGGTTCGGACAAACAGAAAGAGAAAGAAAAATCTGGCAACAAGAAAGAGGGAGCGGAAGAGAATACTGGCGAGACTGGCATCGAGGTAGAGGGCGACACTGTGCTCACTACGCATGTGCCGAGGCCGGCTGACACTAGCTTCCACACTAGGTATGAAATTTTGTATTTCTACCATCGTTAGGTGTTATCAGGTGATTAAAATAACGATTTGATATAGAATTTTCTACTTCTATGATTGGTTCTTGAGATTTGACAAATATTGTCGGCCGTTTGGTGTAGTGGTTCAGAACGGACTACTATGCCGAGAAGTCCCGGGTTCGATTCCCGGCCGGGCAGAAATTGAAATGATGAATTTTAATTTCTGTGACGGGTCTGGGTGTTACTATGTATAATATGTATGTATTTAAAAAAAATAAATATATAAGTAGTATATCCGTTAAGCTAGTACCCATAACACAAGCATATTAATTGCTTACTTTGGGGCTAGATAGCGCTGTGTGAGATTGTCCAAAGATATTTATTTATTATTATTTATTGCACTGTAATAACATATTTTAGCTGTTATGTTGTTGATCTTCAATATTTCCTTCTTGAGAAACAACTTAGCCCAAATCATTTTACGGCTGAGGTGAAAAATCCCAATGCTCATCATAGTTTACATAGCCTGAGGGTCTACTATACCACCCTTTGGTTTCTTGATGTGCGACACATCTTTGACTACTAAAATATATTTTTTTATATCATCATATCAAGACAGATATTTGACGGCAATCGCATCGCAATTTATTGTGTCTAGAAACAACAAGATGCAACAATAGAATAAGAAGCTCAAAGGGTGATTTTTGGTCAATTTCACAGGCTAGAAGAGTCCCACGAGCGTTCAGAAGACATGACCGTCGAGCAATATATGAGCATTCGGGAATGGCTGACGTCAGGCGCAAGACCCGGGCCCGGCCCGGCGGCGGCCTGGCGCTCACTATGGCAAGAGGCTGCGCCGGCGGCGAGAGCTCTTTGTGAGAGGCTGCGGCTGGTGCTGGAACCCACGGGGCGTTCAAGGAGAGCTGGTAAGTGTCTTACCCAAGAACGTGACTAGTGAGTATTCGGGAGTGGCTGACTATACTAGGGGCGGCCTGACGTTCCCTGTGGCAGGAGGCTGTGCCGGCAGCTAGGGCGCTTTGTGAGAGGCTGCGACTGGTGCTGGAACCTACTGANAAAGTTAGCCTATTAATTTAACACAGGTACGACTGTACTCAGTGTTGCACTATCAAATGCAATTGACGCGCCTCTATGCCAGGGTTTTTATGTTCCTGGTCAGGCTATAATAAATTAAATTAGAATTACAATAAAAAAAGTAACTATATTTTACGCAATCTAAATAATGTTTGTCTGTTCCAAATCGAAATGAGTTTTTCTTCACTTTAACTGCACAGTTTCTCGGATTCTATTCTTCTACGTTTTTATGTGAGTTAATTTGTTGTAGGGCTTATTTTCCAATCATCTAATAACTTTTATCTGAAAAATAAAATTAGCACATTGACAGTTTCAGTATGGGAAATATGTCAAAATTACAAATTTATTCCTCAGTTAAAAGATATCGCTGACTATTGAATCAGCCCTTGTAATCTATTGCAATTGGTTTATCAGGTGGATCCATACCACGGCAATCAGCAGCAGATGCCTGAACCGGAGGACTTTGAAATGCCCGACAACTTGAATTTGGACGGCGAAGAAGGGGAAGATAAGGTATGGTTTATAATTGGTTTAGATGCGGTTGTACAGTCATATCATAATACTGTGGCATCTTATGTACTTGTGATAGGGGCGAGTTTGCAACAAAAATGTACAGTCTGATGTGTTGTGAGCCCTTTGAGAGCGAGACAGAGAGAGTGTCAAAAGAAGCAGATTAGCTGTGAGGCTCACAATGGTCGTAATCGACAAACTAACACGTCACAATGTTTTACGTGATTGGTTTAATGTTCTCATTATTTATTTGCGCGTTTTCTTGACGTGACTTAAGAATTAACTATTCCAATATTGATCAATATTTTTGTTTTACAGGAAGGTGAAACAGAAACCGAAAATCCGTTTGAAGTGGACGTAACCAAAGACGACATCCCGAAGGATCAGGACGAATCTACTCAAGATGACAAATCTCAAGACGAGGGCAAAGGGGAGGAGCATGGAACCGAAGTGTCAAGCGACAGCGAGGGTGAAGAGAATGGTGATGATGATAGCCAAGATAAGGTAATTTAAGTAAAGCATGAAATATTTCAGACTTTTCCTATAAAAATAGTTTCATGATACAACAAGTAATTTTTTTTTTACTATCAACAGATTCCATGGTGTGGGAGTTATGCGACTCAATAATAATGTTATGCATATTTGCAATTTTTGTACATTCCTTGTCGACTTTTATGACCAAATTATTTTTTCAATTTATACATGCCACACTTACTACTACACTTCTATACTACTTCAATTGAAAATAATACAGTGTTAGGTATAGAATTGTATTCTTCGATTGCTGGTTCATATCCGGCTCGAAGGACCATTTCCTTATTAACAATATAACTCCACAGTCGCAAGACAACGAAGACGATACGACGCAAACAGAGGCCGACACAGAAACAACGCAAGATGACGGTCAAGATGGCGGCGATGAAGACACCTCGCAGCCCGAAGACTCCGATATGACGCAGCCCGAGGACTCCGATATGACGGAGCCTGATAATGCTGAGGATCTACCTCGGAACCCTGACAAGATGGATGAGGATGAACAGGAAGAGTCCGAGCAGAAAAGTCGGGAGGATAATGTAAGTGCATTTTATTTTTCCGGCTGAGAATTGAAAATTAGTCCTACATTGTCAGTACCGAACACTAATAATAAATCATTTATTTGAAAATATTTTTAAAAATCCAAAGGTTTTATTTTGAGTAATAATATTAAAGTAATATGATTGATGATGAATTTCATGCAAANAACATTAGGCAGATGATATCATAAGGGAACAACCTCAAAAGGAAGTGGGTAAGGATAAATAGTCCATGGGCCGCTCGGAGCTGGACCAAAGCGACAGGGCACACCGCGGCGAGAAGCAAGCGGCGAGGCGCGCCGACCGCGCGCAGCAGAAGCGGGACAAACACGACAACAAGCCGGGGAAGACTGACCAGGAACGCACGCTGGGTAAATATAACNCTGTGCCAGGAGGCTGCGGCTTGTTCTGAAACCCACGGGACACTCTAGGAGAGCTGGTAAGTGTCCTATCCAAGTACATGAGTATTCGGGAATGGCTGACGGTCGGCGCCTGGCGCTCACTATGGCAAGAGGCGGCGCCGGCAGCTAGGGCACTCTGTGAGAGGCTGCGGCTGGTGCTGGAACCCACGGGACGCTCCAGGCGAGCTGGTAAGTGTTCTACCCAAGTACACTGCATCCACGAGAAGAGTCGATCTTTCGGCGGCGGCGAGGGCAGTTTGTGAGAGGCTGCGGCTGGTGCTAGAACCCACGGGGCGCTCCAGGAGAGCCGGTAAGTGTCTTACCCAAGTACATGACTTTCCTTTAGTCGTATTCCGCTGTATATGGGACGCTCTAGAAGAGCTGGTAAGTTTCCAACCCAAGTACATGAGCATCGCGAGTGGCTGACTATACTGGGCCTGGCCCGGCGCTCGCTGTGGCAGGAGGCTGCGCCGGCAGCTAGGACACTCTGTGAAAGGTTGCGGCTTGTTCTGGAATCCACGGGACGCTCTACGAGAGCTGGTAAGTGTTCTTAGAACATGAGCATTCGCGAGTAACTTTCCTCTAATCATAGGACGCTGACTATGTCTAGAGGAAAGTCGATCTTTCGGCTACGTCGGCAGCTTTTAGAGAGATTGCGGCTGGTGCTGGAAGCTACTGGACGCTTTAGGAGAGCTGATAAGTGTTCTTAGTACATGAGCATCGCGAGTGGCTGACTATACTGGGGCCGACCGGCGGCGGCCTGGCGCTCGCTGTGGCAGGAGGCTGCGCCGGCGGCGAGAGCTCTTTGTGAGAGGCTGCGGCTGGTGCTGGAACCTACAGGACGCTCTAGGAGAGCTGGTAAGTGTCTTACCCAAGAACGTGACTAGTGAGTATTCGGGAGTGGCTTACTATACTAGGGGCGGCCTGACGTTCCCTGTGGCAGGAGGCTGTGCCGGCAGCTAGGGCGCTTTGTGAGAGGCTGCGACTGGTGCTGGAACCTACTGAACGCTCTAGGAGAGCTGGTAAGTGTTCTTAGTACACGAGCTTCCACGAGTGACTTTCGTGACGTTATTAGTCAGCGGACCGACTAGAGGAGAGTCCATCTTTCGGCTGCGCCGACTGTGACAGCACTTTGTGACAGGTTGCGGCTTGTTCTGGAACTTACTGGACGCTCTGTGAGAGCTGGTAAGTGTTCTAAGCATTCGGGAATGGTTAATGTCCGGCGCCTGGGCTAGCGGCGGCCTGGCGCTCGCTGTGGCAGGAGGCTGCGCCGGCAGCTAGGGCGCTTTGTGAAAGGCTGAGACTGGTGCTGGAACCCACAGGGCGCTCTAGGAGAGCTGGTTAGTGTCTTATCTTACTAAGTATAATATAAGACAAGCTTTTCAGTACTGTATTAAGGGATTCAGGGCGCGGACGTTAAGGCAGCGCTGTGTAAGGAGTTCTTTAGCAGCGAGGGCACTCTGTGAAAGGTTGCGGCTTGTTTTGGAACCCACGGGACGCTCTACGAGAGCTGGTAAGTGTTCTTAGAACATGAGCATTCGCGAGTAACTTTCCTCTAATCATAGGCCGCTGACTATGTCTAGAGGAAAGTAGAGGAGGTAGCGAGGGTGCTTTGTGAGAGGTTGCGGCTGGTGCTGGAACCTACGGGGCGCTCCAGGAGAGCTGGTAAGTGTCTTACTCAAGAACATGAATATTCGGGAATGGCTGACATCAGGCGTCAGGCCCGGGCCCGGCCCGGCGGCGGCGTGGCGATCACTGTGCCAGGAGGCTGCGGCTTGTTCTGAAACCCACGGGACACTCTAGGAGAGCTGGTAAGTGTCCTATCCAAGTACATGAGTATTCGGGAANAATATTGGGCAGATGATAATAGCGCAGCAGAAGCGGGACAAACACGACAACAAGCCGGGGAAGACTGACCAGGAACGCACGCTGGGTAAGTAAAACTAGTTAAATAATATTGGGCAGATGATAATAGCGCAGCAGAAGCGGGACAAACACGACAACAAGCCGGGGAAGACTGACCAGGAACGCACGCTGGGTAAATATAACTTTAGATCTTTTCATCCACGAAGATGCGCCCCACCATTCTTCCGCTAATGTTTGAGTGTTATCGGTACACGCTAAATCATCCATGAGTGCACACGCACACTATAATAATGACGCTCGGATTGCTCGAATCAAACTCCCCGGACCCCGCGCTTTCTTCGACCAAAAATTGGTGGGGCGAGTCTTTGTGGTTGAAACGATCTATACACCGTGTATTCACAAACATTACTATAAGGTCTTACAGTGCGCGTGGACGCTCAGGGTCCCCAAAACCTATTCATAGACGATACTTGAGTGATGGAGTTACCTTTTCTCTATAGAATACGCTTTTATGAGCTGTAATATGTATTTTAACATCTGCAAGAGAGGAGGAGATTCTCAATTCGTCTGTATTTTTTTTACCACAATATCATATTAATCATAATCTTTGCTTCACTCAGGTGACGTAAATGAAAAGAAACACAAACAGAAGACGCTCAACGTAGAGCGAGACGAAGAGATGGAGGATGGCGGTGAGGGCCAAGAGGACGACGATAAGGACGCGGACGCGTACCAACACGTCAAACAGGCTAAGAAGGATGATTTACAGGTGAGGATGCTAGTAAAATGCTTAGAGAATCGATTAATATTGTAGAAAAAAAAAAAGTATTTAAGTATGTTTATATCCGTTGTCTAGTACCCATAGTACAAGCTTTGCTTAGTTTGGGATTAGAAGCGCAGTGTAAAATGTCCAAGGATATTTTTTTTTTTTTTTTTTTTTTTAAGGAAAAATATATTTACAATATAATTTAATTTTGGTTGAGGGAGAAAAAACAAAAACCAAATAANAAAAACCGAACAGGACTGTAGATGCGGGTTACTTTAGCTCTAGAGGACAACTTTAGCCCAAAACAAAATTTTGTCAAACAGGCGAAGAAGGACGATTTACAGGTTAGGATGCTAAAAGATGCTTAGAGAACCGAACAATACTGTAGATGCGGGTTACTTTAGCTCTAGAGGGCAACTTTAGCCCAAAACAAAATTTCGTCAAAGGCGAAGAAGGACGATTTACAGGTGAGGATGCTAGTAAAATGCTTAGAGAATCGATTAATATTGTAGAAATAGGTTACTTTAGCGCTAGAGGGCAACTTTAGCTACAGGTGAGGATGCTAATAAAAAGATGCTTAAAAAACCGAACAAGACTGTAGATGCGGGTTACTTTAGCTCTAGAGGGCAACTTTAGCTCAAAACAAAATTTCGTCAAAGGCGAAGGACGATTTACAGGTGAGGATGCTAGTAAAATGCTTAGAGAATCGATTAATATTGTAGAAATAGGTTACTTTAGCTCTAGAGGACAACTTTAGTCCAAAACAAAATTTCGTCAAACAGGCGAAGAAGGACGATTTACAGGTGACGATTGTTAGATAAAGGCTTTTACAGTTGATTTAATCCTCTTTATGTTTAAACTGATTGCAATCAGTAAAAAATGCGTACCAACACGTCAAACAGGCGAAGAAGGACGATTTACAGGTGAGGATGCTAGTAAAAAGATGCTTAAAGAACCGAAAAATACTGTAGATGCGGGTTACTTTAGCTCTAGAGGGCAACTTTAGTCTAAAACAATATTTCGTCAATAGGCGAAGAAGGACGATTTACAGGTTAGGATGCTAATAAAAAGATGCTTAGAGAACCGATCAATACTGTAGATGCGGGTTACTTTAGCTCTAGAGGGCAACTTTAGCCCAAAACAAAATTTTGTCAAAGGCGAAGGACGATTTACAGGTGAGGATTGTTAGATAAAGGGCTTTTACAGTTGATTTGATCCTCGTTATGTTTAAAGTGATCGTGACCAGTAAAAAAGTCGTAGCTTTGATTGTTGACTTCTTTAACAAACGAAATAGCTCCCAAACAACTAACGCATGCGGAAAGCATACATAGCGAAATTACACACAATTAACGGTGTTTTGGTAAGTTTAATTAGTAATACCTCAATAAATATGTCAACATAAAAAATAAGCACCATGTAACTCTTGTTCTCATCTCTCATGTGTCGGTGCTTACAAAAAAAGTTAACGTTACTTTTCTTGAACATTATCACTAGAGTCAACTCACATGCTCTATGGTTTACAGGTCATAGATGCGGCGACCAAAGAGCAAGCGGATCAACAACCCACTCTACAGAAAGACGAGGAAACGGAAGAAACGACCGCGGACGACGAAATTCCCATGGATGTAGATGAAGAAGATTTACAGGTATATTTCAGTTTTAGTCGACCGTAAAACTAAAGTAAAACATACAATTTTACCTGTCATGATCAACATTTCAGCCACAAGACGTCCACTGCAGAACCTCCCATAATGATTTCCATAACCCGGTTGGTAAGAAGTAGATAGACCTCATAAAGGTAGAAGGAAGGCGCTGGATGCAGGCCGCCACCAACCGGGTAAAGTGGAAATTCTACCTGTAAAATATTCAAAATTTTTAATTGTAACTTCACTTTTCAATTTAAACTTTTCTTTCCCTTTTTATTGTTGGAATTTTGGGTTCAAGCTCAAGTTTCTGTCAGCCATCAAAGTAAAAGCACGCAAAAGATAAAAATAAATAGCTCTAAGAAACTGTTTCATTACATTGTTTTTTTTCTTTATAGGTTGAGAAGGGTGAAGAATTGAAGCCCGAGAAAGTGAAAGACGGTTCGGACAAACAGAAAGAGAAAGAAAAATCTGGCAACAAGAAAGAGGGAGCGGAAGAGAATACTGGCGAGACTGGCATCGAGGTAGAGGGCGACACTGTGCTCACTACGCATGTGCCGAGGGCAGCTGACACTAGCTTTCACACTAGGTATGAAATTGTATTTTTTTACCATTGGTATTGGCTTTTGTGGTGACAAAACTAACGACTTGATATAGAACTTTTTACTTCTATGATTGGTGTTAGCCGTTGTTCATATTCAATCTTCTTCATATTTCTATCTTGAGAAACAATTTAGCCCGAATCAGTGTCCGAGGTGAAAAATACGAATACTTATACAAACATACTCGTAGTTAACGTAGCTAAAGGATCTACTATGAAATCCCAGTCACCCTTAGTTTTTCGATACATTGCACATCTTATGCTATTAAAAATATTTATTGTGTTTAAAGGTTAGATTACCAACTATGAAGCCCAATGCCTAATGAATTGCAATTTTCAATTTCACAGGCTAGAAGAGTCCCACGAGCGTTCAGAAGACATGACAGTGGAACAGTACATGAGCATTCGGGAATGGCTAACGTCAGGCGCAAGACCTGGGCCTGGCCCGGCGGCGGCCTGGCGCTCGCTGTGGCAGGAGGCGGCGCCGGCAGCTAGGGCACTCTGTGAACGGTTGCGGCTGGTGCTAGAACCTACGGGGCGCTCTAGGAGAGCTGGTAAGTGTTCTACCCAAGTACACTGCATCCACGAGAAGAGTCGATCTTTCGGCGGCGGCGAGGGCAGTTTGTGAGAGGCTGCGGCTGGTGCTAGAACCCACGGGGCGCTCCAGGAGAGCCGGTAAGTGTCTTACCCAAGTACATGACTTTCCTTTAGTCGTATTCCGCTGTATATGGGACGCTCTAGAAGAGCTGGTAAGTTTCCAACCCAAGTACATGAGCATCGCGAGTGGCTGACTATACTGGGCCTGGCCTGGCGCTCGCTGTGGCAGGAGGCTGCGCCGGCGGCCCGGGCGCTCTTTGAGAGGCTGCAGCTGGTGCTGGAACCTACGGGACGCTGCAGAAGAGCTGGTAAGTGTTCTTAGTACATGAGCATCCGCGAGTGACTTTCCTCTAATCATAGGCCGCTGACTATGACTAGAGGTGATTCCATCTTTCGGCTGCGAGAGCGATTTGTGAGAGGTTGCGGCTTGTTCTGGAACCCACGAGACGCTCTAGGAGAACTTAAGTATCTTACCCAAGTTCATGAGCATTCATGACTGGCTGCCTTCCGGCGCCCGGCCCGGACTATGACTAGAGTCGTTAAAAGTAAAGTCGATCTTTCGGCTGCGCCGGGGGCGAGGGCAGTTTGTTAGCGGCTGCGGCTGGTGCTGGATGCAACGATTTAGTCCAAGGACGTCCAATGCTGGAAAAAGACTTTCCTTCAAGAATTTCCACAATGACCATTCAGGTGCTTCCCTTTTGTTATTTTGATTGCACAGGACACTTAGAAGCACTTACTGATTTGTTCTTGATATTCTCCCCTTTCTACAAATAATTGTTGACGTAAAACTATTTTCAGGTGACTTCCGCACCGGGCGCGCTATTAACATGCGCCGCGTCATCCCCTACATCGCTTCACACTTCCGCAAGGACCGCATCTGGCTCCGCAGAACTAAGCCGGCCAAGCGGGAATACAAGATTGCTATAGCTGTCGACGACTCCAGTTCAATGAGCGACAATAGGAGCAAGGAGCTGGCGTTTGAAAGTCTGGCGCTGGTGTCGCAAGTAAGTTAGAAATTAATTTTTAATTAAAGACAGATTGATGATTTATTTTCGGTGATTTTTGGAATTTTCGAGATCCATCCATAAATTATTGTCCTCACACCGTGTGGTTTAGAAGAGTTAGTTTTCTAGCGATAACATAAAACTACACCATTGCAATTTATGTAATTGTTAGTTTAGTTTGGTGAGTAATTAAGTGTCCATTTAGCACCTGGCCGGTGCACGGCAAGGCTGGGTTGCACCATCTTACTTTAACTTTGACAAACGTCAAAAATCTGTCAAACTCCATACAAAATACACCGGTTAACGTTATAGTTATTAGGTGGGTGCAATTCAGTCTAATTTGCTACGACCAAAATTTTCGAAAGTAAATTATGACGCACATTTCAGGCTCTGAATCTCCTGGAATCCGGCGACCTCGCCGTCTTAAGCTTCGGCGAGAAGCCGAATCTTCTCCACCCATTCACGGAGCAGTTTTCCGAACATTCCGGCTCCAAGATCCTAGAACAACTTCGCTTCGAGCAAACCAAGACTAAAGTGGCCCAGTTGTTGGACTTCTGTACTGTGCTATTTGAAGAACAAACGATACGTACTGATGCAATTAACGCTAAACTACTAGTGATTGTCAGCGATGGACGGGGTATATTCTCGGAAGGGGAGACGAAGGTGATACAGGCGGTCAGGAGAGCAAGACAAATGGGCATATTCCTTGTCTATGTTATAATTGACAATCCGGATAATAAGGTGAGTTTGTTCGTTCATTTTAATCCTAAAATAATAGATTTAAAAAATATTTTCTTATTTCATTGAATAATAGAAGAAATTGTTTATCAAGATAAAGAGTTCAAATAAGTGTATTGCGTAGTTGCTCTAATAATTTAATTACGTTCATTTTCGATTTTTTGATCTTTTTGGAAAACCAAGAGTATTTTTGGTAGTTGGTAGTACATACGTTATTGTGAAGTCTTTTTTGGCCACGCTTATGTGTTGCTAGTTTTATTTTCTACGTGTCCACTACAACAATCAATGTTTTATATTCCAGGACTCCATAATGGACATCAAACGGCCTATCTGGGACCCAGTGACGAACGAGCTAAGTTTCATACAGTACCTCGATACGTTCCCCTTCCCCTTCTACATTATACTCCGAGACATGTCCGCGTTACCCACGGTTTTGGGAGACGCGCTGCGACAGTGGTTCGAGTTGGCGGCCAATGTTGCCAGCTAAATTAATTGTAGATTAAGTATACAAAATATTTGAGACGATGTTGTCATGAATAAAATAAATAACTGGTGACTTGCATACACGGTTCAGACTCGTGGCAGGGTGACCAGAGGCAGGCATAGCGTTGTTTTATCATATAACATCACATGATAAATAATATTGGCGAGTGTGCATCTCTGTTTCAAAAAATACTTATGGGGCTTGCCACGAGTCTGTGTCGATATAATATTGTATATTGTGGCAAGTTAAAATAATAGTATTACAATTTAATCGGTTAAATATGCAACCCCTTAAACGGATTGTGTGACGGCATTCCTAGTCAAGTATTGATACAACTAACTTACGAATGCTGCCATTTGTGAAATAGCTGGCCTGTTTTAGTTTAGGGTTAACGAATGACGTCGGCTAAGATTAAGTAAGGACTGTTGACTGTGACATGGTGCGAACTGTTGAAAGGGACTGAGCGTAGCCTTGATAACATAATATAGGCTGTTTGGCACTAATGTAAGAAAGTATTCTAGTCGTCTAATGTAACAGTCAATTAATATAAATCTCGTAATGATTATGCTCAAAGGTGGACGCATTTAGCACTTAGTACGTAACGTTTTCGCTACAAGATTCCGAATTAAAAGGGCCCAGTAGCAGATTGATGATATAGCTTATTCTACAGTCATCAATGAATTCCTATTCGTTACCACATTGACTTTCCAATCATTTCTGCTATAAAAATTTAATAAATTTATGTTTATTGTCTCAATATCACTACTATCATTATTGATTGGTTTGTAATAAAAAACTACTATGTTTCTCATTGCGACTATGATAGGGATTTTATGGTGTAGTGACAGTGGGGGCGAAGTTTATTATTGTGAACTAGAAATCGACATTGTTGTGTGTTAGTTGGTTACTATTGTTAATAAGATTATTACCAAAAATGGTAACTACTATTTTTTCTATTTTTATGGCCTCTAGGTTTCTATTATGTAAAAAAAGATATTATGCGTGTTGTTTCATTTTGTACATTCTAAATGGAAAAACTTATTTTTACTGTATATTTACTGAATTACTTTAATGTGTAAGGCAGATTATCATTTATCATTGACTTTCTATACGAGAAAATGTTATTAGATAAGTATCATGTTTTCCAAATGGAACTTAATAAATGGAAATCAATACATGCCTTGTTTCAATTTTATTAATACCCTACATTAATATTTCGTTTACAAACAGACGATTAGAGGAATGGAATTAAATAAAAAAATACGTTTTAAAAAATATTATTGTATATTTGTCAACTGAACATTAAACAATATCTTAACATATTTAGCTTAGCAATATTTTGGAAATTAACAGAAACAGTACATATCGTAATGTGTTATATTTTAGGCCTAAGTTATCATTTTATAAATAAAACGAGACATACAGAGCCGACTGTAAACAATATAGATGATCCGCGAACAAGCTACCTATAATAAAATTACTTATAAATTAAAATTTTGTTTCAAACGAAACAAATCGCCGTTATGCACCACTTATAACTAAATTTCTAATATACATATACAATGCTTACTCAGCGTTTGTTTACAAAATTTGTTACAAATGATAATAAGAGCCACTTGGAAATGTAATATCACAACCCGTTCGTATACTGCCCGCAACCAAAGTAAATAAACCAAAATTTCTATTTATAATATAATTGATGTTGGACCTTGCACCACATAATCTTGCACTAAATTAATTTGGATCAAAACCCATTTAGTCCAGNGGAATAATTCGTTTTCATTTCATTTGCGGTAGGGTTAGACTGCCCCCTGCGAATGTATGTACTTACTAAAGATACTTTTTCAAAAAAGATATTTCTATTTCCAAAATTAAAGACTGGTTCGAATAATTTCGACTCTTTTGAACTCCTATGGATGGCTAACAGTATTGTCTTAAATGCATTGTTTCTTCTTAACAGGTGATTCATTCTTAAAACTGTTTTTGCTGCTATCTATGTTTTCTTAAATTTTTATAGTGACACGGACAATTGATAGATTTTTTTATCAGATATTATAATCATAATATGGTTAAGAAACTTCAAATAAATATTCTGCATTCACCTCAATGATATTGCATTCCCAAGATAGTTTACCCTTAATGTAAATCAATCCGCAATATTCAACAATTGAAATAGCAAAATAGAAACTACGATAAAGTTTATAATAAAAATATGCTAACTCATGTAAATATTAAATATGTATTGACATAACATTAAAACTAAGCCTAAATAATATTGTTAAAACATCGATTAGAACCATGATGGTGTTCAAGTAATAAATACCTTTTAGGACGACCGCTGTGTTGAGATGAAACCTCAGCGATGGAAAGCAATGATAAAATAGAACTGTAGACTGTGATTATAAGGCTAAGAGCTCACGAAGTCTCCGTATAATATAGATTTGTGTGCTAAATTAAATAATAGCACACAATTTTACATTTACTACGTATGTCCACGGCAGGGATCACACATCGACACTTATTTACCTCAAAAACCGGCGGTGTTTTAAATAACAGCTGTGGATGAAAACCACTCTATGAGTTCTTAGCTTTATAACAAAGTGTGGCCATCGCAAGATATCGCTCAGCACAGAGGACGGCCCAAAACAAAATACGAAAAGAAAAATCAAAGCCCTCGGTTTACGTTTGAGCGTATTTAAAGCTGTCTGCAAACCATACCCAAAGGATACTCGCGATTACCGCAAAGTCTGCCCAAAATTAGGTTTTATTTTACTAAAATCGTGGATTTAAAAACCTAGTACGTTTCTAAATAGAGTAAAAAAAGTTTTAGAAGGCATTCGTGGTGAGTGTTGGTTAGAAATAATATAAACAATAACAGAGTGCCATCGAGGAAGTGCACAAAAAACAGGAACCACTTATGCCAAGATTATAATAAAATCATTAATAAGTTAGATAATTTGACCTGATCATAAATATTTAGATGACTTCTTACATTCATCTATACAGGGTGTCTTAGTCTAGCAATATTGTTTCACTGCCTTTATAAATTCGAGATATTTTTGTAGTTTCCCTGCAAAGTTAAAAGACACAAAAGATATCTTTATATTCGTAAATCGCAGAACGTAAGGTGTTCAGAATTCAGGTTGTATATAACATAACATCATGGTACAATTTATATGCTTCTTTTATTTTAGGACATAGATTGGACATAAAAGTACCTAATAATATTGTACCATTGACGTTTCGGTAATTATAAGCACTGATTAAGAAACCCTGTATAGTTCTTAATTCGTGATCTCTATGCACTTCGTGGACTTATACACGCTGTATAACGCCTAAAACATTATCGAAAAAGTTTGTATAAAGTTATACAATCCCTATATTAGACCTGTATTGGACAGCGGGTGTTCGCGCCTCACTTGGCCGACTCCTTGGACGAATGGTTGTTGGTCTCTTCAGTCTTATCACCGTCACCGTAGAACTTTGGCTGTGGAAATAAATCGCTAATTTAATAACTAAAAATAACTCTCAAAAACAACCCAAATCAGCTGGCGGGCAAACATGTGAAAGATTAAACCTAAATCTTTTTTTTTCATAGTTTTTGGATTTTACATAACAAGGCATCTAACATAATCGCTTTCGTTAGATTTATTATACATTCACTCCTTAGAAATAAAAAAAAACTGACGTCTTATTGTGTATGTATGTATGACTTATTTAATTATGGTAGATGATGATATTGTGTAAACTGATATGCTTTACACAATTTTCATGTTGAAAGCGATTCTGTTAGCGAGTGAGGTTCCTGAATTCACCTGTTGGAAAAATAATATTGTCATTCAGCATTTCTCTTCTCGCTTTTACTGTATAATGAGTGAGCAAGAGATCAATCCAATTCATAAATCTAAGCGAGTTGCAGATGAGTTGAAAAACAAAACCAAAAATCAAACGATTAGTGTATGGTTATTTCTAAAAGTACCAACTAAAACTAAAGTAAACGATGATGATCAAAACGTTGCGCATACGATCCATATGGCCTTATTTTAGGTGAGTGAGGGAGAGAAACATACAAAACTAGCAATATAGACCAATGGGACGTCACAACTGGATTTTGAAATTGGAATCCAAAATGGCCGCAAATTCAAACCACAGCTAATAAAACATGGCGATGAATGAAACAACACAACAAAATCAAACAAAATATCAGGTGGTGTTTCAAGCATGATCAAACGCTGCTAGCTTAAACTTACACATTCTCAAGTTTGTACTATACAGTCGTGACTTTATTTCCGTATCCATTTTTGACACCGTTATAACTTGTAAAACCCTAGAAATAAAAAGTTTTCGGTGTAACATTCATAAATAAATCGCTTCTGGATCCAGTGTATGTTTGGCAAAAACTTAAATATTATTCTGAACATGTATGGAAGTTCGTACACCGATTTGGTATCGATTCTTCATACAAATTGGAAGCCGACATATCGGCCGATCAAAAGTATGTAGTTTACGGGGTGTCTTGTTTTTACTATCTTTATAAATAGTTTGTGTTACTCACCTCGTCGTGTTTCTCCTCCGCGCTGGGCCTGTCGTCGTCGTCGTCGCTGTCGTCGTCGGCGGACGAGTCGCCGCCCGAGCCGGCGTTGTCGCTCATCGGTTTCACTGCAACAATACGGATAGATGTAGCAGCTGACAGATATAGCGTAGTATCTAGGTGGCTATGAACGCCCTAGCGTAGTGCTAGATAACTAGCAAGGCACCTATCGTAGCCGCTAACACTGTAACAGTCAGTAAATGTGTATTGGCGGCTGTTAGGGTGCATTGGAATTTGAAAGATGTCATAGCAGTTGTAAGAGTCGTAGCGTAGATACTACTCTACAGTGTCTGTTTGCTGTAGTGCTGCGATAGTTTTCGTAGCATGTGATTCAGAGATAACTAGATAGTTACCTGGGAGCACTGATAGTACGGCTCGTCTAGCCAGGAAGGTAAAGCAGCTTTAGCTGCTTTGCTGATAGATGTCGTAGCAGCTGACAGAGTCGTAGCGTAGACACACGTGGTAGAGAGAGATTCGTAGCAGTTTAAATTATTATCTACCTGGCATGGCGGCGGGCGGCGCGGGCGCGTTGGGCGGGCGCGCGCGCTCGCGGTTGATCTCGTCGTAACACTGCAGGCACACGCGCAGCGGCATCTCTCTGTAGTGTGTCGTAGCAGCAGACTGAGTCGTAGCACTACGATGGTGTATCTACCTAACAGCGCAGCGGCACGGCACATGTAGCAGCTGTCGATGTCGTAGCCCTATTACTACGTCGGTCTATCTACTTGGCAGCGCGACTGCGCGAGCTGTAGTCGAGCGAGACGTAGCGCCAATAGATGTCGTAGCAGTTGTCAGAGTCGTAGCGCAGATACTACGCTAAAGTGTTATGTTTGATGTTCGTAGCTGTATTACTACAATTAAAGTGTTCTGGCCGCGCAGGTAATATACATAGATGGGTGTCGTAGCAGCAGTCACCTATTGTAGCACTGTCAAGAGTCGTAGCACGAAGACTACGCCTAGTTCATGTACCTGGCATCGCGGCAGGCGGCGCGGGCGCGTTGGGCGGGCGCGCGCGCTCGCGGTTGAGCTCGTCGTAGCACTGCAGGCACACGCGCAGCGGCTTCTCTCTGTAGTGTGTCGTAGCAGCAGACTGAGTCGTAGCACTACGATGATGTATCTACCTAACAGCGCAGTGGGCGGGGCGCTTGTAGTCGCTTAGTCGTACCGCTTATAGATGCCGTAGCAGTTGTAAGAGTCGTAGCGCAGATACTGCTCGCGTAGCTGTAGTGCTACAGAAGCTTGTAGCACGTATCTACCTGGCATGGCGGCGGGCGGCGCGGGCGCGTTGGGCGGGCGCGCGCGCTCGCGGTTGAGCTCGTCGTAGCACTGCAGGCACACGCGCAGCGGCTTCTCTCTACTCTCCGTGTCGTAGCACTATTGCTACAGCAGTGTATGTACCGGGCGGCGCGGGCTGTAGTCGTACGAGTCGTAGCGCCGATAGATGTCGTAGCACAGATACGGCTATTCTAGCCAGGGAGGTAAAGCACATAACGTAGCAGCTTTAGGACTGTAGCGCTGATAGAGTTGTAGCCGCTTCAGAGCCGTAGCGCCGATAGATGTCGTAGCAGTTGTAAGAGCCGTAGCCCACAGACTACCTACGCTAGACTATCATGTTTGTAGTTCGTAACTATTGTGGTACTACACGTGGGTGAGGCAGTCACATTCGTAGCAGCTGTCGGAGTCGTAGCACAAATAATATCTACCTGGCATGGCGGCGGGCGGCGCGGGCGCGTTGGGCGGGCGCGCGCGCTCGCGGTTGAGCTCGTCGTAGCACTGCAGGCACACGCGCAGCGGCTTCTATCTAATCTCCGTGTCGTAGCACTGATACTACGGCTAGTCTAGCCAGCAAGGTAAAGCACATAACGTAGCTGCTTCCGAGCCGTAGCGCTGATAGATGTCGTAGCAGCTGACAGAGCCGTAGCGTAGACACTCGTGGTAGAGAGATTTGTAGCAGTAGTTTATACATATTATTATCTATAGTCTGGTCTGAGAGCACGTAGAATTTTGTCCAATGACCCCAAGCTACCCATCCTTATCGCTCGCGCGTAATTATATTGCTGTCGCGACTGTGCGACGGTCGCCCGCAGTGAGTGTGCGAGCGCGACAGCAACATAATTACCCGCGAGCGATAATGATGGGTAGCTTGGGGTCATTGGACAAAATTCTACGTGCTCACAGACCGGGCTTTACCTGGCATGGCGGCGGGCGGCGCGGGCGCGTTGGGCGGGCGCGCGCGCTCGCGGTTGAGCTCGTCGTAGCACTGCAGGCACACGCGCAGCGGCTTCTCTCTTCTCTCCGCGTCGTAGCAGCTGTCTGTGTCGTAGCACTATTGCTACGGCAGTGTATGTACCTGGCAGCAGCGCGGCGAGGCGCGGGCTGTAGTCTAGTCACACGAGTCGTAGCGCCCACAGATGTCGTAGCAGTTGTAAGAGTCGTAGCGCAGATACTACGCTAGGGTGTCCGTTTCCTGTAGTGCTGCGATAGTTTTCGTAGCATGTGATTCAGAGATAACTAGATAGTTACCTGGGACCACTGATAGTTTGGCTAGTCTAGCCAGGAAGGTAAAGCAGCTTTAGCTGCTTTGCTGATAGATGTCGTAGCAGCTGACAGAGTCGTAGCGTAGACACACGTGGTAGAGAGAGATTCGTAGCAGTTTAAATTATTATCTACCTGGCATGGCGGCGGGCGGCGCGGGCGCGTTGGGCGGGCGCGCGCGCTCGCGGTTGATCTCGTCGTAACACTGCAGGCACACGCGCAGCGGCATCTCTCTGTAGTGTGTCGTAGCAGCAGACTGAGTCGTAGCACTATCACTACGATAGTGTATCTACCTAACAGCGCAGCGCGACTGCGCGAGCTGTAGTCGAGCGAGACGTAGCGCCAATACATGTCGTAGCAGTTGTCAGAGTCGTAGCGCAGATACTACGCTAAAGTGTTGTTTGATGTTCGTAGCTGTATTACTACAATTAAAGTGTTCCGGCCGCGCAGGTAATATACATAGATGGGTGTCGTAGCATCAGTCACCTATTGTAGCACTGTCAAGAGTCGTAGCACGAAGACTACGCCTAGTTCATGTACCTGGCATCGCGGCGGGCGCGCGCGCTCGCGGTTGAGCTCGTCGTAGCACTGCAGGCACACGCGCAGCGGCTTCTCTCTGTAGTGTGTCGTAGCAGCAGACTGAGTCGTAGCACTACGTTGGTGTATCTACCTAACAGCGCAGCGGGCGGAGCGCTTGTAGTCGCTTAGTCGTAGCGCTTATAGATGTCGTAGCAGTTGTCAGAGTCGTAGCGCAGATACTACGCTTTGCTTTAGTGCTAGGAGTTTTCGTAGCGTGTAGTTACCTGGCATGGCGGCGGGCGGCGCGGGCGCGCGCGCTCGCGGTTGAGCTCGTCGTAGCAATGCAGGCACACGCGCAGCGGCCTCTCTCTGGCCGCGCAGGTAATATACATAGATGGGTGTCGTAGCAGCAGTCAAGAGCCGTAGCACCGATACTACGTCTGATCTACGTAGCCAGGTAAGGCACCTATTGTAGCACTGTCAAGAGTCGTAGAGCATGATATGCCTGATCTATTGTAGCCGCTTCAGAGCCGTAGCGCTGATAGATGTCGTAGCAGCTGACAGAATCATAATATAAACACACGTGGTAGAGAGATTCGTAGCAGTAGTTTATATTATTATCTACCTGGCATGGCGGCGGGCGGCGCGGGCGCGTTGGGTGGACGCGCGCGCTCGCGGTTGAGCTCTTCGTAGCACTGCAGGCACACGCGCAGCGGCTTCTATCTATGCCGTAGCAGCAGACTGAGTCGTAGCACTATCACTAAGATGGTGTATCTACCTAACAGCGCAGCGGCACGGCACATGTAGCAGCTGTCGATGTCGTAGCCCTATTACTACGTCGGTCTATCTACTTGGCAGCGCGACTGCGCGAGCTGTAGTCGAGCGAGACGTAGCGCCAATACATGTCGTAGCAGTTGTCAGAGTCGTAGCGCAGATACTACGCTAAAGTGTTGTTTGATGTTCGTAGCTGTATTACTACAATTAAAGTGTTCTGGCCGCGCAGGTAATATACATAGATGGGTGTCGTAGCAGCAGTCACCTATTGTAGCACTGTCAAGAGTCGTAGCACGAAGACTACGCCTAGTTCATGTACCTGGCATCGCGGTGGGCGGCGCGGGCGCGTAGAGCTCGTCGTAGCACTGCAGGCACACGCGCAGCGGCTTCAGAGGTAGTGTGTCGTAGCAGCAGACTGAGTCGTAGCACTATCACTATCTACCTAACAGCGCAGCGGGCGGGGCGCTTGTAGTCGCTTAGTCGTAGCGCTTATAGATGTCGTAGCAGTTGTAAGAATCGTAGCGCAGATACTACGCTTTGCTGTCGTCTCTAGGAGTTTTCGTAGCGTGTAGTCTGGTCCGTGAGGACGTAGAATTTTGTCGCGACTATGCGACTGGCACCCGCAGTGAGTGTGCGAGCGCGATAGCAACATAATTACGCGCTTTACCTGGCATGGCGGCGGGCGGCGCGGGCGCGTTGGGCGGGCGCGCGCGCTCGCGGTTGAGCTCGTCGTAGCACTGCAGGCACACGCGCAGCGGCTTCTCGCTCTGGCCGCGCAGCACGAAGCGCTTCGACGAGCACGGCCCGCACACTACTGAGCCGCACTTGCGGCAATGGTGCTGGAAAGGTTAACGTTTTTAATGTGAAATGTAGGAATAACCCTGGTATTCCTAATATCTAAATCTAATACAGTCTTTCCCAAAGTGGGCGATAACGCCCCCTTGTGGGCGCTGCAGGCTTAAAGGGGGGCGGTAAGAGACCCAGAAAAAAAATCGGGACGTTGTATAGAGGCTTGGGAGGCGTCATTTACTAGGAGGTCTCTTAGACACCGACTGAGCACTCGACTCTCGACTACAAATGGGGGCGCTAAAAAGAATTTATTCTCAAAGTGGGCAGTAGACAAAATAAGTTTGGGAACCGCTGATCTAATACATAAATAAAAGGAGAAACTGACTGACTGACTGACATATCAACGCACAGCCTAAACGGTTAAACGTAGGCACTTGAAATTTGGAAGGGACGTAGCTTAGGTACCGTAGAGGTGCACTAAGAAAGGAATTCCCGAAATGACCACGGGAACGGGAATTAGCGGAAAAACCCTTTTGTATGCAAAATCTAACTCTTAAGTTAGACGCTTGAAATTTGGCATGCAGGTTGCAGGTACCTTAGTAAACTTAAAGCTTAGTTACAACAGGATATTGCGAAATTCCCACAGGAACGGGAGTTAGCAGGAAAAAACATTTGTATTAAAAAATCTAAACCACGTAAGATAGATGAAGGGGGTAAAACGGGATTCACGCGTACGAAGTCGCGGGCGGCCGCTAGTAAATAAATATGAATGAAATACTTATGAATGATCTCAAGATATTGGTTGAATTGGAACATTTTGACTTATTACATTACGATTCAAAACTCGTTTCAATATCAAGCATACCTGAAAGTGTATAGAATCCAAAATAATGTGATGTTTTACCCAAAGGGTGCTAAAAGGTTAAACTCATTAAGGGTTAGGCACATAGCACGTATAATGGCTGGCTGTTGGGGCTGAAACATTCTAGCGTAGCACCATGGACCGAAAGACGTAAACCCGACTGATGACCTGGAAACGGAAAGCGCCTGGAAGAGGTCAAGGCGAGATCGTTGTGAAAATCCTTGGGGAAGGCCTTTCTTTAGCAATAGACTTCTAGATTTAAAAAACCCAAAACTGCGTAAAAATGAACTAAAAAGATAAAAAACAAGACAACTTAGTGTTCACAAATGCAGTAGGAGGCATCAAATACATCAACAAAAGAATTTTATTTTTATCTTTTTAGTTTAACATACTTTTTGTAACCTACTTAAAAAACATTTTTTTTAAGACATTATGACGCCTAAAATAATTTTTATTTTATCCTTTTCAATTTTAATATAGCCAGTGTCACTCTCATGATTAAGACGAATCTAACGACACCTCTCACGCTAAAATCTGTCAAGCCATTTAGGCTGTAGGCCGTGCCAAACACATACATACACTCGAAAAACATAACCCTCCTTCTGGCGCAGTCGGGTAAAAAAGAAGGTTTAACTTACCCTCCTGTTGAGGACGGTGAACTGTGTCTTCTTGCAGTGCATACAGATGGATGCCTCGTTGTCGGGTACCCACACGGCCGCGTGCTCCGACGGCGGTTGTTTGCCACCTGGACAAATTATTGCCTTATATATCTATCAATGTATCCATAAAAACTTTCGCGTTAATCATAATATTAACGAGAAAGTAAGACTTATCAAACGTTTCAGGCACTGGCATGCATTGACGTATCTTATCATAAATGTATAGGTAGCGATTAGAAAGGAAAGACGAATATATGCAAATTCAAAACAAAAATGACGTTAACAATTTTCACATTCAATATTAACAAGAAAAACAACAAAACAAAAAAGGTTCCCATACCAATGACAAAAACTAAATGCATATTAGCTATAAAATAGTCATGAGTTACGCAGAACTGACGGCCGATGGGGCAGCAAGGTTTTGGAGTACCGGAAAACGCAGCGTGTGACGTCCACCCACAAGGTGGACCGACGACATCATAAAGGTAGCAGGAAGGCGCTGGACGCAGGCCGCTACCGGGCAACATGGAAAGCATTGGGGGAGGCCTATGTTCAGCAGTGAACGTCCTATAGCTGAGATGATGATGATGAGTCATGAGTTAAACAAATAAGCGAACTCACTCTTCCTCAGAAGATCCTCTATACATTTCTCTATGTGCGCCATCCACTCTTCTTTCTCTGTGGCCGTCGCGGCGTACACTGCGAACGACTTGGACGCCGTGCAGATCAGCCAGCCGTTTCTGTATTCTAGAAAAATAATATAAAATAATAATATACTTATATAACTAGCTTTCCGCCCGCGGCTTCGCCCGCGTGGAATTTTGTCTCTAACCTAACCTAACCTTCCGCCAAACACCCTGTATATTACTCAAAGGTGATTGACTGACTGACATAGTGATCTATAAAAGCACAGCCCAAACCACTGGACGGATCGGGCTGAAATTTGGCATGCAGGTAGATGTTATTATGACGTAGGCATCCGCTAAGAAAGGATTTTACGGAACTCCACCCCTAAGGGGGTAAAACGGGATCAAAGCGTACGAAGTCGCGGGCGGCCGCTAGTATCATATAAATTCATAAAAACGAGAAGGAACCACTACAGTTGCTTGTACTCGTCATTTTTGTAGATTTCTTCAAAGTTTTACCATGCCATTGGTTTTTAAAAAGTAGTATCAATTTTGGCAATGACTAAAACCTTCACACAAACAATATAATTATACTAAATTATTCAGTAAACAAAACTGTGTACAGAACTATACTTATTTCAAAATAAAAACTTATGCTGGGTTTATCCGGTACATTAAATCCCAACTAATATTATAAATGCGAAAGTAACTCTGTCTGTCTGTCTGTCTGTCTGTCTGTCTGTCTGTCTGTTACGCTTTCCCGCTTAAACCTCGCAACCGATTTTGATGAAATTTGGCATAGAGATAGTTTGAGTCCCGGGAAAGAACATAGGATAGTTTTTATCCCGGTTTTTGAAACAGGGACGCGCGCGATAAAGTTTTTCTGTGACATACAAAATTCCACGCGGGCGAAGCCGCGGGCGGAAAGCTAGTTATTTAATATCCTAAAGAACATTACATAATGATAATAGTTTTGCTGATTCATGACCGCTAAGTAACTAATCTTGTTAGAGAAGCCTAATTAAAGGTTGCTAATGACATTGTTAGGCAACAGATATTAACAAATCAATGTCATTGCATGTTATATTTTTAGAAAGAATACTTGATAATGTTAATAATATAATATCATTTTAACATGGTAAGTGTAATAGGTACTAGATAAAAAAATAAACGCCTTATTTTAAAAAATATTACATTAAACTGCTTAAGTTTTGCAGTTGCCAAAGAAGAACGGTCATCTGTGACCCAGGCCCGACAGAAACGAGACATACCTCAATTTATTTGTCATGTCTTAATTAGTTAAATTATATATTTTTTATATTCGAAATCTATGTATAACACCAAAATATTAACCTTTGTTTTTGTTCAGGCCTTATACAAAAACTAATACAAAATGCCTATTTATCACCAAAATTGGTAAATGTATGTACCTAAATGTCTATTACAGCTGCTATGGAATGTATCTAGGCGACCTGGAGATACAGCCGGATTATACACGGTGGTTATACATATGGANATTTGACGGATAGCGATAGGTATGTGCGTTATAATATTCATCGATGTGCGTTTTATTGTGAAGAGAAGAGAAGAGAACGGTTAAAAAATTAATGCTGTATTAGGAGTAAGTAAGCTTAATGTCAATAAATTCGATAAAACCTAACCAGTTTAGATTGCAGTGGGGCCCCATTTTTTTATTTGCCCCAGGGCCCTTGGTTACCCAGCTACGCCACTGCTTAAATATCTATCAATGTATCCATACAAACTTTCGCGTTAATCATAATATTAAGGAGAAAGTAAGACTTATAAAACGTTTTAGGCACTGGCATGCATTGACGTATCTTATCATAAATGTATAGGTAGCGATTAGAAAGGAAAGACGAATATATGCAAATTCAAAACAATAATGATGTTAACAATTTTCACATTCAATATTAACAAGAAAAACAACAAAACAAAAAAGGTTCCCATACCAATGACAAAAACTAAATGCATATTATTAGCTATAAAATAGTCATGAGTTACGCAGAACTGACGGCTGATGGGGCAGCAAGGTTCAGGAGTGGAGGCCGCGTACCGGAAAACGCAGCGTGGGACGTCCACCCTCAAGGTGGACCGACGAAATCATATAGGTAGCAGGAAAGCGCTGGACGCAGGCCGCTACCAACCAGGCAACATGGAAAGCATTGGGGGAGGACTATGTTCAGCAGTGGACGTCCTATAGCTGAGATGATAATGATGATGATGATGTCATGAGTTAAACAAATAAGCGAACTCACTCTTCCTCAGAAGATCCTCTATACATTTCTCTATGTGCGCCATCCACTCCTCCTTCTCTGTGGCCGTCGCGGCGTACACTGCGAACGACTTGGACGCTGTGCAAATCAGCCAGCCGTTTCTGTATTCTAGAAAAATAATATAAAATAATAATATACTTATATAACTAGCTTTCCGCCCGCGGCTTCGCCCGCGTGAAATATTGTCTCTAACCTAACCTAACCTTCCGCCAAACACCCTGTATATTACTCAAAGGTGATTGACTGACTGACATATTGATCTATCAACGCACAACCCAAACCACTGGACGGATCGGGCTGAAATTTGGCATGCAGGTAGATGTTATTATGACGTAGGCATCCGCTAAGAAAGGATTTTACGCAACTCCACCCCTAAGAGTAGGCGCACACGGTTGATTTTTCGTCGGCCGATAGTTTAGTCGGGCTGTTGATCAGTATGGGCATGTATGGGAGTGCGCACACTACGCCGATTCGATTTGGCCGATTCTTCATACAATTTAAAATCGGGCACAACTAAAAATCAACGGTGTGCGCCTACTCTAAGGGGGTAAAACGGAATTCATGTACACGCGTACGAAGTCGCGGGCGGCCGCTAGTATCATAAAATATAAATTCATAGAAAACGAGAAGGAACCACTACAGTTGCTTGTACTCGTCATTTTTGTAGATTTCTTCAAAGTTTTACCATGCCTTTGGTTTTAAAAAAGTAGTATCAATTTTGGCAATGACTAATAAAACCTTCACACAATATAATTATACTAAATTATTCAGTAAACAAAACTATGTACCAAACTATACTTACTTCAAAATAAAAATTCATGTTGGGTTTATCCAGTACATTAAATTATATAATATCCTAAAGAACATTACATAATGATAATAGTTTTGCTGATTCATGACCGCTAAGTAACTAATCTTGTTAGAGAAGCCTAATTAAAGGTTGCTAATGACATTGTTAGGCAACAGATATTAACAAATCAATGTCATTGCGTGTTATATTTTTAGAAAGAAAACTTGATAAAGCTGTTTATAATAATATCATTTTAACATGGTAAGTGTAATACTAGACAAAAAAAAAATAAACACCTTATTTTAAAAAATATTACATTAAACTGCTTAAGTTTTGCAGTTGCCTTTGTATTAATTTAGGTAATAAAAAAAGACAATCTCGTATCAAATTGCAACTATATTTGCATAATAAGCGGTAGTAAAGCCTTTAATTGCAACAGAACCGCAAATGATAAGTGATAATGGCTAGGAGTCAGTGACTCAATGACGATGACTCATCTCATTTTCATTCACGTCTTGATGGTAATGAGACAGTTCATGTGTCATGCTAGGATTATATTATTTAATTAAAAGGTGAAAATATTTGTAAATACTACTAACTTCTTTGTATGTAGCCCTCTAGTACATAGTACAAATATTTCTATCTTAACCAATTGATTATATTATTTTTATAATCCTACTTAATATTATAAATGTGAAAGTTTGGATGTCTGGATTTTTGTTACTCTTTCACGCAAAAACTACTGAACGGATTATGATAAAACTTTGCAGTATTATTGTTTATAACCCAAAATAACATATAGGCTATAATTTATGACAATCTGTGACAAACGAAATTTCACGCGGGTGAAGCCGCGGGCAAAAGCTAGTCATCAATAAAAATGAGACTGTGTTCTTAAATATCTTAGTCAGGGAAATGTTATTGGTTACTGAATGATTGATTTACCAAACAAAATTATTTTAAGTAACTAGTAAGTGTAAACTAACTCGTAGTCAGCAGGTAGTTATAATAATCTAAAAACCTATTATCTAATCAATTCATTAATACAGAAACTAGTTTGATAATGTAATCTGTGCATGAGATTATCACTACGTTCAAACATTAGTAAGTACATGATTTTGATTTATCTGAAATGTGTTAACTAGAGTATTAGATAGTGCATAAGCAGTTTTGTTTATAAAACTTTAGTAAACTGTTTTGTTTAACAAACACTAGCTAGCAACTTTCATATTCTATGTTTATCTGTATGTTTCCCTAAAAGTGTAAAATAAGATAAAATAAAAGAACTTACGTCCTTCATCCTTTAGTGACTCCAGCTTAACTTCTTCCAACGGTATGACATGTTGCTTATTGTATTTCTTTTTGTTTATGACAATATTTCCGTAAACGAGTATATCGTTGAAAAGGAAGAACTGTCGAGCTTTTGGCTTTTTACGACACATCTTTGTCAGGACACCCTCGCCCACAAGGACGCGACCTTGCTCTGCAAGTGGCTGCAAGAAATAAAGTTTCAAATTTAAATAATGTCACATCTTGACAGCCACACAAGCAAACAATGAACAGGAAAAAGTGATATTTTAGCATTCTCTTGCTATTGCTATTGATATGACTTTACTGATGAACATCAAAACAACAATTCACTGTTTATAGTAGGTGTCAAACTGTAAATATAATTATAAAAAGAACGTTTGACCAGTGTCTGAATTACCTTTGAGTAGGTACTAGAGAAAAAAATATTCATGGTCAACATTTGCAGCGGTATTTGTGGCTGACATAAACACAATATCAATAAAAACTACATGCTGATAACTTCACCATATCAGTAGAGTGATTCCACCCATCGTGCAGAACACTATAACGCTATCTTCGAAAGCTTTTCGGTTGATAAGCCACAATTATTTGTTCAATGGAGTCATAGTTATAGTATTACTGGAAAATCTCTTACCTGCCCTGAACCGCCGAAGCAGTTTTCCACCATAGCAATTCGTCTTGCATTTGCCTCACTATTCACTGCAACAATTTAAATAAATTTAATAAAATTGCGGCACTTATCGTACTTTGACGTCAAAAGAAAGTGAACGAACACACAATGACAGTGGCCACAGTTATAGCTGTAAAAGTCCAGTATTACACTTCTCAGATTTTGTTAACTATGGACTATCACTTTAAAATAAGTAAAGTAAATCCCACCTAAGCGATCCACCATTATTTAAAAAAATATAACAATTTATTTCAGAGATTGTAGGAGATACGATTAGCAAAATGTGTCCACAGATTAGAGAGTATGTCTAAATGTGTCATTCACTAAATATGTTGCCAGCTTGTAAAACTCTTTTACCAATGAATTTTGAATATCTTACCCATCAAGCCATCATGCATTAGTTGGTTCTTTATGTGCCCAAGAGTATTTTAATTTTCGTTATTGGAACCGTGTTTAAGATTGCTATTAAAGGTAATCAAAGTTCATGGTTGTCAATACTAAAGTTTAATAATTTAAAAACTTAAATATTATTAAAGTACAGAGCTCATTGAATTACCTAATAGAATTCATGAATATTGTCTGTATCGCTAAAATTAAATTTAGCACCATACAAAGTGAGTACAATTTTTTTAAACTCGTGCCAGGTATTATTATGAGATTGAAATCTTACCTTATTAGTTGGGTATTTTTAATACTTATGTGGCAACACAAATACTGCGTTTCGTTTCATGACATATAATAATGAAATGCAGAATTATATAAATAACTAGAGGTCTTAATTAAATACCTTTTAACTAATTATGCTTTTTATTGCTATAAACATACAATAAAAATTAACGTGAATTAATTAATTACAAAAAAAGTACTTTCTCACATCTTTAAATTTAGCCATAGACAAATGCAGATCATGTGAGGTTCCATTTTGACACCAGCTGACAGCTACAGAGTTAGTGGTCGATATTCCTAAAATATCTTCAATCGGGATATTCCAGCAAATAAACCATAAAAATGGCATGTACGTTTTGTGGCCCTAAACTGTCGCTATGCGGGCTCGTATTGAGTGTATGGGGAATCATCCAATTGGTAAGAATAACTAGATTTTTACTGTTTCATACATCGAACATTGAGTGCCCATGAAAGATGCTTGAATCTCGTGATTTTCAGACGCTGATGGGCCTCTTCTATTACGTTGGTGCCGTCGCCTTACTTGAAGATCTTCCCCTGGGAGAGAACCACCACGATGTCGATCATTTCATAAATGAAGTGAAATATAGTTACAATCAGGTGAGTCACAGAAAATTAATCCCATTTAATTCTATGTCAATAAATCTGATCGAATGCTTAGTTTTCCCGGTTAGGGTGTATCAAAGGGGGTTCGACACATAGCCGAATTTTCGAGCGTAATTTGTATGGAGCAAACAGAGAAATTTTGACGGATTTAGTATGGAGTTTAGACTTAAAAAAAAATTTCAACTTTGGGAACTGCGAGGTCATTTAATAAGCCTATTGCCTTATTACAGAATGCAACCAACTGCTGGATCGCCGCCCTCCTATACGTGGCCACACTGGTCATCTCCGGCCATCAGTTTTGGATGAACAACCGCTCTTCTGTTAGCATGTAAATGGAGTGTTAACGTATGGTTGCACTGTTGTTACGTTGAGTAATTCCATTCCATTTTTAATTTATTTTAATTCTTGAGATGTGAACAATAAGTGAAGTATTATTGTCAACAATAAGTACACAACACAATTTGGACACAAATTTTAAATAGTTTGCATCTGTGGTGATAACCACTGTACCAAAGTAAAGAGAGCTTTTATCTTTTGGTTCTCATGAAACATATCTAATTCTATTTTGGTTATTGTTGCTTGATATAATGTGAAATGTTCTTACTTGTGCTTAGGTCTCAAAATGAGTGCCACTCAATACCTATCTAGGACAGCATGAGTTATACAACTAAAGCATTACTTATATTTTCATCTGTTGAATAGAAGGTAAAGTTTATTGAAGTAATTGAAGGATGTAGACCTGCTATTACATTAATATATTTAAAACCGTTTGATCCTTATAGTAATAATCAACGATTATACATTTAACTATGTATGAATGTATAAATTAGGTTCTTATGAATTTAATTTGTATGGCAAAAATGAAAATTATTAAACAAAACTATCTATAGGTACCTAATTGTAAATAAAGTAAATATTAATGTAGGTAACCTATAAATGCTTAGATTTTCTTGAAATAAATGTATTAATGTTGGAAATTGAGTTTTCTTTTAGAGACTTGTAATTTTTAATATTATTTTTCAAGGGTTTTGTGAGACTGATGATTTGATGACCTTGACCATGACATCCATGACATAAATAGTTGTGGAGGTGATCGCTTAAAATTGCTGGCATTGCATTAATCTCTGAATAAATTAATAAATAAAATACCCTATATGATAACAGCCAGGAATGGTAACATAATGTTTTAATTTATTTGTTTTTCATGCTGTGTAATTTATTCAAAAAGAGATATTATAGTTAAAAAAATATTTTATCTTTCTGATTGATAATTATAGACATTTTTAAAACTAATAATTGTCAGTTTGATGTGTATCATCTTGTCAATATTTTGTAAGATTGTAAACAAACAAGTGTAAAATTAAATAATTTCTAAGCATAGTATTCAGCAGGGTTTTAGCTAAATGTGTACTGGAGGTTGTGTGTATAAATGCGGTATTTGTTGTTTGATGCTCAGTATTTGGGCAATCGTACAATTGGTAAGTTACATTGTTTCTATCCACTAAAGTACTTACTGAAATAAAGGACCTCCGCTGAAATTCGCGCATATACCCGCGGCCGTTGCTTAAGTTGCTTTATACAGCAGGGTAGGTACTCATCTAGCCGTGTAGCATATGCATATGTAATGTATCAGATACTGTATCAAAGAACATAGGCACGAGCCCGCTGCTCGCGAGTGGTTCGCAGGGAGATCGTAGCGACCCGCCGAGTGGCGGTATCACTGCGAGCACAAAGGCGGCTACAGGAGCTCGCAGCCAGATACGCGATGACCGATCAAGAGCCGTACTCACTTGAAGGTTGCTTACGTTACATGCTACGTTACGTGCTACGTTACGTGCTACGTTACGTGCTACTTGGCAGGTGAGTACCCTGCCTAACGGGCTATTTTGAAATTGCCTAATATGCCGACTTTCATTACAGAGTTTAATGGGAATATTTTACAAAATCGAAGCGACCCCCATGATAAAGGACGTCGCAGTGAAAGACTATACAGACTACGACGATTTTATAAAGAAGACGAAGGAAAATTATAAAAATGTCGGTTACCTACTTTTACCAATTTTCTTTTCATTAACTCTAATCGTTACCAGTTCCATTCAGTAGCTATTATACAACATCAATGACATCATACTGTTTCAATATTTAGGCCTACTTCAGAATCGGGCACAAAGCTTAATTCTGAAGAAGGCCTACTGCCTATTGAAGCGACTAAGTATAGCCGAACGGTGACGGTGTGTCGGCGGAGTAGCCGACTCGTGATTCGAGCTCCATCTAAACTGCGTAAGATTACCTATAATAAGTTTTTTGTGTTGTACAAATTACTAATAGTCCCGTTAGCCCCTCGTGTTAAGAATAAATAAGCTTGTGTTACGAGTGGGCTCGCTCACCCGTAGCCGAGGAACCCGCGTTCCTCGGATCTCGAGTCGGCCAGTCCGAACCATTCACTGTTCGGCTATCGTGCGTGGCTATTACTTTAGTCCGGTCGCCGAGCACGTAGAATTTCGTCCAATGACCCCAAGCTATCCATCCTTATCGCTCGCGCGTAATTATATTGCTGTCGCGACTGTGCGACGGGAAGCCCCTCGATCGGGCCCACTAGAGTGAGCCCGCCGTAGGCTGGACTTTGGTCCAACACCGCGGTGGGCAACCCTCTAGTTGGGTTCGCCACTGATCGGGCGCCTTATGCGCTCGATACGGCCCGATCGCGAACGTCGGTCTGCGACCGACGATCGCCAAACGGCTAGAGTACCTTCTGTACTCGCCACTCTGCCCGGTGAAGCTGGAAAAGCTCCTCAAGCTACCAGCGCGCGTCCATTAAAAAAAAAAAAGCGACAGGAAGCCGCAGTGAGTGTGCGAGCACGACAGCAATCATATCGCTTTTATAATAAGTAAGTAGTATCGATCTATTGATTTATTGATCAACAGAGCGCACTAAACTGCTGGATCGGCGCGGGAGTTTACGCTGTCATGGCCGCGATATCTGTCGTCTGCATCATAGGCGGCGGCAAGAAGGTGAAGCAAGCAATGGCGGCGTTCGACGACGACGAAATATTCTGCGCACCGCCCGAGGTCGAGCCGGGCCAGCAGAAGAAAGGGAAGAAATAGATTGTTTAGTATTTATTTATTGTTAGTCAATAAAGATATTGTTCTTATGATGATGTTGTGCTTGCTGAAACGATTGATCCGAGCTGGAGGACCCACCAAGTAGGTACCTAAAGTTTGTAAGCATCACCAAACGAAAGTCGAAGGTTAACTGGCAGGGAATGCCAATACAAAAAGTTCGCAACACGTCTTTATTACATTACAATTGGAATAAGTAAGGCTGTGTTGTGTGCATTACTCCAGCAAATCCTACTTATCCTACTAATATTTTATAAATGCGAAAGTTTGGATGTCTGGATGTCGTGATGTCCTGGATGTTTGTTACTCTTTCACGCAAAAACTACTGAACGGATTTTGTTGAAACTTTACAGTATTATTGTTTATAACCCAGATTAACACACAGGCTATAATTTATGCCAATCTGTGAGACTAAATTTCACGCGGGCAAAAGCTAGTATTAACTATAAAAATAAATGATACGCTTATTGGTTTGGATTATTTTATTGATTTTGAGCTATGTTATGTTTTTTATAATGATAATATTAAATTGGTTACTTCACTTCTTCCAGTTGTTTTCTGTCGAATGTCACCGTTCCAATGTTCACACTTTTAATTTCATCTTTACTGATTTGTCCGCTTTCCTGAAATGAGGAGAATTCAGGTTTAGTTACCATATAGGTACTTGCTGAACTTTACTTATTTATATTGAAGTACCCTATTTTGACAGTGGCTCGTAAAGATAAACACTATTTGTCATAGTAAATGATAAATAGGCGCTATTTTCCAACAAAAGTGTACAGTCAGATGTGACGCGAAAATAGAAATACTTAATACCGGAAGTGTAGGTAGACTTTATTTTGAAATCGCAAGGCTTAGGAAGCCAGATTCACGGTAATACTTATGATAGTATTACTGTGCCAGATTGAAGCTAGAGTGAAGCAATGACCCCTCCAATTGATTTTAGGCTATGCTCTACGTAGCCTCATGTGTGGTTAGAACTACATAATATAAGGCATATTCCCTGACGAAATACCTAAGTAAAGACTTGCTTTACTTTTTCAATACCTGGGCTGTGTCCACTTCTTCGTCTTTCGGGGGCTGGTTTGGGTTGAGCCAGGGGTCGGCGAGGATCTGCGGGATCTTCACGCGCACCTTGAGTGGCGACAGGATCTTTGTGATCAGCTTGCGGCATTCCGCCGTGACCTTCGGCTCGCGCGGGAACGACACTTTGTTTTGCACTTGCTGTGAATACAAGTGTCTCGTAAATATAGGATGGGTGAATTGGAGAGTCAGGAGTTGAGAAGTGAAGTAAATTTGGTTGATGACGTCATAATTTACGTTTTGACAAACAAATTAGGTAGATCTTTTAAAGCAGCTCTATGCATCCCCACACAGCCTCGGTGGATACACCCTAGCTGCAAGTAAACATCTCGTTTTGTCTCTGCTTGATCTGCTTCGGACATCTCTTCACATCTACACTTTGATGAAGTTCGGATCTTAACCAACCCAAATATAGTCTTATCGTCACTTCGAGATATAACTGGTGCTGAGAAAAAGTGGCGGCCAGGATCTCAGTTTCTCTGTCTTATTTAGAGTATGCGCACACCGTTGATTTTTAGTTGGCCGATACTGTTGTGCCCGATTTGAATTTGTATGAAGAATCGGCCAAATTGAATCGGCGTAGTGTGCGCACTCCCATACCTACATGCCCATACTGATCAACTGCCCGACTAAACTATCAGCCGACGAAAAATCAACGGTGTGCGCCTACTCTTAATATACCCAATACCATTTACAAGATGTCTTTACCTTCAACAGCTGTGTATAGTTGGTATCGTCGAACGGTAGCCGCCCGTACACGATCGCGTAGAGCACCACACCCATGCTCCAGATGTCAGAGTCCTAAATTCAGAAAAGTCATGATTTTTTTGCAAATTAACCAAAGGGACAATAAATGGGCGAGTACCTACTAAGAAGAATGTTTCCGTGGTCTGAGTAATGGTAAGACTCGGTTAGTTGGTGGTAGGGTTTATATTCAAGTCATGCGGACTTCTTACCTGAGGACGGCTACAAACATCCGCCACAACAACAATGTTAACAGTATTGTTGTGTCCCGGCAGTTGGAGATAACATAGGCAGCAGTTCGTTTGTAGTAAGGATTTCAATGAAGCTCGCTTCCACTTTTGGCCTAATCATCACTTTAGTTAGCTGAGATGCAGGCCTAGAGCTTCCTCGTTGTGGATAAAAGAAAAAGAAAAAAAAAAGAAGCAGCGGAACTTATGCCCGTTTTCACCATCAATCCCTAATTTTTAAGTGACCTAAGGTAACACATAACAGGAATTTTGTTGTCATAGGGGTCATTTAAAATTATCGATTGATAGTGAAAACGGGCATCAGTCCCCTTGTCAGCCTCTTTAGGGTTTTCAATACATTACCTGCGGCCGGTACGGGACTCCCTTCAGGATCTCGGGGGACGCGTACGCGTAGCTCCCGCAGAACGTTTCGCTCAGAGCAAACACCCCGTTTTTGGGCTTCATGTGGCCCCTTGCGAAGCCGAAGTCAGACAGTTTAATGTTTAAGCCGTGGTCCATGAGCAGGTTTTCGCATTTTATGTCTCTGGATGGCAGAAATGGTTAAGTTATCAATTACTGTTTCTGGTCCTTGCTACTGGTATCTTACTACAGTGTCCAGCAAGGAGGATTTTGGAAATTAAGCGTATGAAGTGATAAATTTGATTCATGCCATGACCTCAATTTTCATTATATCTAAAGATTCTAAAGGAAGATGATTTAGAAAATAAAGACAGAATCATGTTATTATTCTGTAAGCAACTATAAAAGCACGAGTAAGCTCTAAGTCATAGTGAGACGGTAAGGCAGATGCGACATGTGACGTAACAGAGTGTATAGGTTCACATCTGTGAAGTCTCGCTGACGTTTGTCGGAACAAAAACGCTAAATAGGTACCAACTTAGATGCTATAATGCCTGTAATTTCGGCCGACCACGTCATTAGGGTCATTATTTGGTAGAGTCATTACCGATGGACAACGCCTCTCTCGTGGCAGTAGTCGACGGCCTCGACGAGTTGCTTGAACCAGCGGCGCCCGCGCATCTCATCGATGTGTTGATCCTTGCGGATTATGTCCAGGAGGCTGCCGTTCTCGGCGTACTCCATTACGATGTACACTCTGTTAATATGGGGGGAAGGATTGTTTTAGCTTGTCATCTTTGATTATATCGGTTGCTTATTCTCAATATTCTGCTTTAAGTGTTTGATATCGCAAAACAGAATTTGAAGACAAGAAATCTATACCATACTAGAATAGCAACAACATGCGTAATAGTGGTGGTGGTGATTGGTAGCCACTTTAGAATGTCTTTTAATAGCTGTCCTTTCCTTGGGTTTTCTGGAAGAGATCCCTTCCTAGCGATTAAACTGCCAAAATTGTGCCGCTCCAATTTAAATATTTCTTTCTTAATATCAGTTTTGTATGGTTAGCAAAAAGCCAGACTAGCTCATATTATAATGTATCGAAGAATTCAGATTAATGCAAAAATGTCACAGCACCTATGCGTGGTTTCGATGGCTTGAAGAAATCTTATTAAATTTTCATGTTTCAGTCCTTTTACAACTTCGATTTCTCTTGGCAAGAACTTCTTCAGGTAGTCGCCGGGCGCTTGGAACTTGCTTATGATTTTGATCGCCACTTGGCAGTTGTGGCGGTCACTGGTGGCCACCTGCATTTTTTAAATAAAAACATAGTTAAACGTTGGTTAAGATAACGAAGACTGATTTTTTTTCCGTAAAGAGACGTAATCGCATCAAAAGCGGCCTAAAGGAACATTTCGACGCTTCCATGGGTAGTGGTAATGTAGCTTTAGGCAGTTAGTTACCATTCAGCGAGGAGTTCCATAAAAATCTTCTGAACTCGCCTCTTCTGTGAATAGCGTAAAATATTGTCCTCCTTTTTTAAAAAGAGGTGTGTAATAAAAAGTTTTACATGTGAGATAATGCAAAACCTAATGTAGGTAGTTACTAATTGTTCAAAAATTTTAGACATTTTCAAATACTGTGCTATTGGAGTCATTTGCGAGCGACATTGTAAGTAGGTACGACAAAGTAACACTGCACGAATACGTCATTTTGTTTTGATTTGAAATTATTTGAAGTAATCGCGCACGTCCACGCTGTGACACTATTCTAAAAGTCTAGCAGTACTTTGAAGTCTTTGTTGACAGCACATCTTGTCCACTAAGAAGTACCCCATACCTTGACGGTGGCATAGGAGCCAGATCCGATGGTCCTACCGAGAACATAGCCATGGGTCTCTAACACCGTGAGCTTCCTCTCAGCCTTGGCCTCAACGCCGCTGTGCACGGCTGCCGTGGGCTCCGTCGACATCTCGCCGAGAACATTGTCATTGGCCCTCACATCCGGCCCCGGCATATCACAGAAATATTTATATTATTTAAAAATTGCTGCAGTAAATGTCACATTATAATATTAACTTATATTGCGACATAGCTGTATTTTTTTCATTAATTTTGTATGATTTTATTCATGCTGTCATTTTGTCAAATTGATTATTTTCGTGATTGACGCGAACGTCATTTGAAAAAGGCGCTGGATTTTCATTTTTTTATTGCCAGTCTTTTTTGACCATAGAGTATTAATGGTTTTAACTATTGAACCTACTTTAAGTTTTTGTATGTGTACGAATGAGGTTTAAATAAAAGAGAACCTATTAGTTAATTTCTTTGCTCTTAAGAACGAAATTATCAGCTAATACTTTTCTGGGTTCATTTTGTAGAGCTGTAATTGCTAGACATAGTATTCCTAACTAGCAAGAGCATCGATTGAATAACACAGCCTGAATATCGAATAAGGTGAAGTGCATTTTTGAGAGCCGAGTGTTACTGACGGAATTTCGCGTTAAAACCCGGGGCGCTCGTCCGTCGTTCCATCACAAAGAAAACAATTGCCGCGATTGCACCAGTGGCTGGTCGTGCGAATCGTGTCGCGAGGGCTGCTGCGACCACCCAGCGCATCACCAGAAATCCTGGAGCCCTCTGGATACCACATCCCAATGTTCGCGAAAATGTAGAGCAATTTACGGGAAATAGTGATTTAACATAACTTACATACAAGGCTGGCTGTTGCGGAATGCTTAAGATTGGTCATTCATTTATGGGAAAATGCATTGATAAACTATTGTAGAGTTACTTATCACCAATTCAAGGCACAAACTGATGAGTACCTCAATGAAAAAGGGCTGGTATAATAAAATTGATGAAAAATAATAATGTTTGGAATGCGTTTGATAGAAACCTTTTAAAATGATACTGCCAATGGTAACTGAGTTTCTTGCGCTGCTTCTTCTCAGCACTGGCCTATCTATTGTCCCAAAGCAGTGGTAGGGTTAGGGCTCAGCCTCGAGTTTAGCGGGCAGCGGGGCGGAAGCGGCGGCGGCGCGGGAGCGGGGCGGGCAACGCAGACCCGTTCTCGAAACAAGCGGGCAGCTCGCGCGGCGCTTTAGCGGCGAAGTGTTGTGTTCGGGGTTGTGTTGTCGAGATATTTGTTTTTATTCGCAACGAAACGTCTGAACAACGCGGCGACAATTTTATTTCGATTCAAATTTATTCCTAACGCTCGATTTATTGTGGGTAAAAGAAGGAGTGCGCTGCCCGCTCGTTGCTCGCTCAAGCGCCGCCTGCCCGCTCGTTGCCCGCTCCCGCCCCGCTGCCGCGCCGCTGTTTTCGAGAACCGGTCTATTTGATTTTACGCATAAGATCCTGCCGCGCCCGCGCCGCCGCCGCTCCCGCCCCGCTGCCCGCTAAGTTCGAGGCTGAGGCCTTAGGGAGGTTTATAGCGATTTTTACCCGACTGCGCCAGAAAGAGGGTTATTAAAAGCTTATTTTCAGAAATATGACTTGTACGACTTTATACAAAACATACTGATCTCCAACCATCCCGGATCAACGTACACTGGACGAGCAATACTTCATTCGATGACCTATTTTCGTACATTTGCCGCGTTTTTTGTTTGCTTTATTCTGAAAGCGTTTTTTCTAGAAGGTATTCCTTGCGGTCTTTTGTTGCTGTAATTGCGTATTTTGTCTACGAGCTTTCATTACGTTTAGATTACGCGTGAGTGATTATATGGGTTGTTTTGGTCGCTGAATCCTGTATTTAAATCAGAAAATATTCAAGTGTTTGAATAGGTTATGAAAAATACGAGCTTTCATTGAAGATTAATATTTAGGTAAAGGCCCATTGATTAAGTGCTTACTTTTTACGTAATACTCGTACTTTTTTTTATAGAGACCCTTATTCGTAAGTACAACTTACTTAATTGGTTTATATTCATGTATTTATGTTAAGTGACTAAATTAATTATGCGTTTATAAAGTAGCTACTTTGAGTCTCTAATTCGTTTTGGCAGTAACGTTTCAAGTTACGTATTGTATTTATTACTATTTCAAAAAATGTTTGAGTCTTTAACACGAGCAATTGTGTTTGCCCTTAATTATTCTGAATTACCTATTTGTAACGTACTTTTGAGTTCTGTTCTGGTGCTTTGTTGGTTTTTTTAACATGTCCAATCTCTTTGATATAACTGCATAACTGCACTGTATGACATTGGTCGGTGGCCAAATGACCTAAGTTCTAAATTATTGCTTTAATTTTCATTCAATCTTTATAACATATCTGGCAATTGTGTAATGTAACTAACTTTATCGTTCTTTCTGATAATACTTGTTTTATAAATTGCATTCAAAAACTGTTTCAAACGATATTCCATTTCAGACTAATTTATCAAAGTAAAATTCTAGCAAGCTACAAAATAAAGTCTATCCTACTTAAGTATTTCAAACATATCTACTTAGAAGAGATTGCTTCCTTGCGATAAGACCGCCTTATTGGCCTTATTGTGTTTGTCACAGGTACCTATCACGAATCACGTGTGAATACGCGGTGTTTACGCGTAGGTATAGTAGTTAAATAAGCATGGATTAAGAAAGTTTTCGAATGTTACATTTGAATAAATCTGCTGTTTAATATCTACGCATTAAACATCACATTCTTTTTCGTTCCGCCAATAATTAAATTCGAAATTTGTCCACCAAATCTTCCAGCTTAATTTCGATTAGTTTACCAATATGTATCGGCTGCTCACCCGCATTGCATTTCCAGCAAATGTTGCATGCATAATTAATGGACAAATTTATTATGGCAATTGCATAACCCTGTATTTAGAATTGCATTTATGCCGTGTGTCGTCCTGTTTTCACATTAGTACCGTCAATTAGCATGATTTAAGCACACGTATCGTTACATTGGACGTGATTATGCCTCTACCACATCTCTAATTTGTATTTTAACCAGATAAAAGTGTGACGTGTCATGATAGTCAGATGTTTTTTGCAATTAGGGATAGTTATGCAAGTGTCATGATAGTCACATGTTTTTTGCAAAGGATTTATAGAGCTCTTTTATTTCCTATTTAATTTTAACTCTACCACAGCTACGGGACAATATGTGAGAACGACGATGACGACGATGATGACGACGACCGGACGAAGGACTGTCGCAATTTTTAGGGATGTGTCTTCGTAGTAGTTACCACTTAAGATTATTGAACTTTAAATTATAATCTCTGATGAGACGTCGCCATTTTAAAACTCTAACAAAGTTGAAATAAACTATCTTCTGATTTTCTTCTTTACTGGTGTCTACTTACGTATTTTTAGTACGTTCTTGATTCTTGCACAAAAGTTCTCGAAGACATTAAGTTGTCTGTCCACAAACTTGATAATTGCATCTAAACTTAAAACATCCTGAGATAAGGATATAACGGTCTCACGTATCTCGGAGCGTCACATCAAACAATTAAGAGCTATCTCATTCTCAAGTTGGTGCGATATATCGAGTCGCGGGTTGATTACTTTTTCTGCTCGGCGAACTAATAAAAGTTGACCAGCAGACCGGCAACTTCCAGTCTCATTTTTAATTGAAACAATCGAGTTTNGTATTTAAATCAGAAAATATTCAAGTGTTTGAATAGGTTATGAAGAATACGAGCTTTCATTGAAGATTAATATTTAGGTATAATAGGCCCATTGATTAAGTGCTTACTTTTTACGTAATACTCGTACTTTTTATAGAGACCCTTATTCGAAAGTACAACTTACTTAATTGGTTTATATTCATGTATTTATGTTAAGTGACTAAATTAATTATGCGTTTATAAAGTAGCTACTTTTCTCTAATTCGTTTTAGCAGAAACGTTTCAAGTTACGTATTGTATTTATTATTACTATTTCAAGAAATGCTTGGGTCTTTAACACAAAAATGTGTTTGTCCTTAATTTTATTGTGCATTATGTGTAACGTATTTTTAGATTGTGGTGCTTTGGTGGTTTTTAGGGCTCCGTAGCCAAATGGCAAAAAACGGAACCCTTATAGATTCGTCATGTCTGTCTGTCTGTCTGTCCGTCCGTATGTCACAGCCATTTTTTTCCGAAACTATAAGAGCTATACTGTTGAAACTTGGTAAGTAGATGTATTCTGTGAACCGCATTAAGATTTTGATGCAAAAATAAAAAAATAATAATAAATATTGGGGGCTACCCATACTCAGAACTGAAACTCAAAATTTTTTTTTTGTCAAACACATACGTGTAGGGTATCTATGGATAGGTCTTTAAAAATGATATCGAGGTTTCTAAAATATTTTTTTTCTAAACCGAATAGTTTGCGTGACAGACGCTTCCAAAGTGGAAAAAAGTTGGTCCCCCCCCCTCTAATTTCTAAAATAAGAAAATGAAAAATCTAAAAAAAACATATGATGTACATTACTATAAAAACTATCAACGAAAATTGTTTTGAACGAGATCTAGTAAGTAGTTTATTTTTAAAAACTCGTAAATCGTAAACCGCTTATTACCGCGTAATCTTTCATACAAATAACTTAAATTAAAAAAATAATAATTTCAATTTAATAAATCAATGGTACGGAACCCTATGTGCGTGAGTCCGACACGCACTTGGCTGGTTTTTTAAAACTGTCCAATCTCATTAAAATCACAACTACTTAAGCCATAACGTAAATAGGACCCTATCAAACTGTCCTACATTATCAACAAATCAATTTAACATTGACATTGAAAAATCGCCCCTATTACAAACCCAAAAGATATGCCTAGCTTAATGTGCCCTCGCGCTTTTGCATGATGCACTCTGATAACTGCACTGTATGACGTTGGTCGGTGGCCAAATAACCTAAGTTCTATATTGCTTTAATTCTCATTCAATCTTTCATATCTGGCAATAACACATGATAGCGTATTGGCAATGGCGCATTGTAGTAACTCGCATGTAACTAACTTTATCGTTATTTCTGATAATCTACTGATTTAATATATTTCAAACTATATTCAATTTCAGACAAATTCATCAAAGCAACATTCACGCGAGTCACAAAATCAAGTCTATTTTAGAATATTTAATTTTGTATTTCATATTTTCAAAAATATCTACTT